GGAATCGAATACCAACATTATATACTAATTGTCACAAACACCGGTCCTTTTTCGCCTCTGATTACGACTACGATAGACCATCGACGTTATTTCCTGGTTCACGTTTGTGTTGTTTATAGTCCTGTATGGGTGTAACAGGGAAACGACAGCAAGTTTCAGAACATGGAACTTAAAATTCTGTCAACAATAACAATAAAACAATATCTCCAATCGAAGCGGTTGTTTCATAACCAAACTTGAACCAGACTCTTCAGCCTGCTAAATATTCATGGTATATTACGTTGATCATATACAAATATTTAGCCAATCAGGGAACACGAAGTCGAAACCTTCAAAACAGCAGCGTTGTAGACATTTTGCAGAAATGATACATAGGCGTTTGATTTTGAAATTGTTGTGATTACATTACGTAATCTTCACTCCTCATAATATTGATATACTACAAAAATGATCTCCAAATGACAATGCCAAATATATAATAAAAATTTAAAAACATATATTGACTCTTTTGTATTCAACGAATGATTACATCAGTTTACTTTGCATAATGTAATTTGATTAATAGCCGTTTATGAATTACTTTCAAATTCGGCAAAATGTAGAGTCACATTTTATTTCTTTAGAGGTACGCATGCGCCCTGTGATGATTTGGGCTTTTGTTTTAATATGACAAAGAGTTCTGCTTTCACCATAAGAAACATAAATCGACAACACTTGGTTTGATATATCTATCAATCTATCTATATGGTTTTGACAAATGAAATGATATGATTATATCTGCTCTGAAAATAGGCCATAAGATCTATAATGGGTTCTAATGGATTGTGTGATGAGATCGTGGCTCATTAGGTCGTTAAAGAGGTCGGGAAGTCAAATTCGAAATGTGTATTTTGCGGCCAACGTACGTCACTAATATCGGGTAATACCACCTCTGTTGGCAAGACATGAGCGAATATATCGAGGCATATGCATCTGATGAGTCGACCAGTGTCAGCTTTTATTGTAAACTTCAGTGTGAAAGACTGAGTTTTCTGAAGTTGAGAAAAGTGATATTTACCTTGCAGTGAACATAACACTTGATATTTCACTGCAGTGAACATAACACTTTGCCGGAACTATTGTCACACAAGAGTTACTTAGGAGATAAATATACCGCGCTAAATTTAACATTTGAAACCTCACGCTGCGCGTTCGGTTCCAAATTCAATCTAGCGGGGTTAAATCTACAGGTAACCGAGCTCTACATTGAAAACACAGTATGTTTATCTCCATTCTACCATTACTAAATAAAAAGCGAACTCTTTGGTGTTAGCAAATATACTGAGTGAAGCGGCATGGGTTGAGTTCAGTGTTTTGAGTGGGTTATCGATCTGAATTACGGAATCACCGAACAAAATATGGTGCTGTATATACTCAAGCAGTTTGTTTACACCGTTATACTTCACTCGAACATATGACAGGCACCGAAGGCATGCAAGCACGGCAACTTGGTAAGCTAACATGAGGTGGGCATCCCTAAAGAAAACAAAGCAAGCTTTGCAAGGCTTTCGCTCTTCATCGCGCGTCACCATTCATGGTAGAATTCCCTTTAAATTGTCTTCCTTTATCGTAAGTGTCAACCCCATACACAAACTGATGACGTATTTTTTACGTTAGGTCCACATTCACAAGGCAAAGTAATGACAGACGGTCATTTATGGAGTTAATATCACTTCTTGCCGTTTGTTCTCTCGAAAATGTTTCCTTATAAACTGTAAATTTCTCATTTCACTCGTCAATCGGGACTGTTCGTTTCGAAAAGCGCCATTTTTGTTACCTGACCAGCGTGTATTCTTTCGCTTCTCTCAGCGGTCTCCTAGTTTTCAAGAATACTTTTTGTTAAAATTGATTTTGTATATAATCATATCGAAATGCCGTGACCCTAAATATTTTTTGATACTTTTGTTAAGATTTTTTAAGATTATGCAAACACGAAACTACTTTTTAAGTCGCAAATACAAGGGGTGGTGAGTCGTCCCTATGTGTCAGGGGGAGAGAATTTATGTTTCACGGTTTTACATTTGTAATGAAATAGTATAATTTTCCGATAGACTGCACTATATAATGAATAGGATATTCCATGTGTCTTGTGAAACTAAGCCACTCGGTAAAATATCTTCTTTCCCCCTTCTCGATGAGAGAAACATGATATTTCACTCGACACATGACATATCCTGTATGACTCATGTTGTCCAACTCATCAGTGAGAGCAGCACCGAGTTCATTGAGAGTGGTGGATGGATGTTGACGTTGATGTACACGTCTGCTATTGACGTCCCAGACGTGTTCAATTGGGGAAACGTCAGGACTAAGTGATGTCAACAGCATGACATGGATGTTTTGCTGTTGGATGAAACGTTGCCCAACGCGCTGTGCAAATGGCACCACGAGTGGTGCAATGATGCTGTCCTGATAGTACTGACCAGTGCCTCTGCCATGGACAATATGGAGCGCAGTTCGGCCAGTCATCTCCCAAAACAGTCATGCTGTACGACGTTAACGTCCATAAAACGCTCATAGGACGTCTCCAAACTGGATTCCTTCGGTCATGGAAGTCGAGTGAACCTCGATTCATCCTAAAACATGACATCAGTCAATATCCCAGTGCTGACGTTCCCAACACAACTGACGCCTCTGATTCAAATGATGTGCAGTAAGTTGTGGGATGACACGTGGGCGTCTAATACACAAATGCCATCTGTGCAGACCGTTATCTGAGCGACAGTTTGCATTCGATTTACTTTTTTCCCTTTACATTTTTATTGCATGCAAGATTTCTTAATGCTATCGATCTGACTAAACATGTTCTGGGCTGGAGTTGTTGCCAGATCTGCTGATCAATGACAGACTGAGAAACATGCAGCGTGTTGGCAAGTATATTCTGACGAGTCTTAAGAACATAACAATAACACACGTACTGTTTTAAAGTTCATTTGGATGGGCATGGTCATTCTTACGAATATCGATTAATCTCCTCAGCCGACGTTATCCCGATCGATCGATTGACCGTCTATTCGTTTAATCGCTCCAGCACTATACATAATATTTATCAAACTTCTCTGGATTAAACAAATATTTGAAAAAACTTTAATGGTTAAATTCTCACATTTCTGCCATGTTCCTGCGTTCACAAAGTGAGTGAGTGAGTATGTTTTTACGCCGCTTCTAGCAATATTCCAGCAATATCACGGCGGGGGACACCGGAAATGGGCTTCACACATTGTACATATGTCGGGAATCGAACCCGGGTCTTCTGCGTGACGAGCGAACGCTTTAACCACTAGGCTACCCGACCGCCCCTGCGTTCACAAAGCAAAAGGGTTCGAGCCCTGCTAGGGGCACACGTTTGCTAACAAAATCTTAAATCACTTACTTGTGTCCAAATAAGAGTAGTTCCGTCAATGCCAAGTGAACATTATTTGAGATAATGATAGCGTAGGCAATGTCTGCATAAATTGTAATTGTACATATATATTTCTTGTCAGCTACGAATTATCAAAATTTGCAAAAATTTAGTAAAGGTGGATTTACATAAACCCAGTTCCCTGTTATAAAATTTGAATCAATTAGATAGAAATGTGAGTGAGTTTGGTTTCCGCTGCTTTGAACATGTATTAGTTACATCATGGCATGACAGCATAACATGGGAGGAAAGCCCGAAGTGATGCAGGTCTCAGACGTTTACCACTTCAGTGAAACCAATGAGCACGGGTATGGTGTTGACAAACCGAGAAACATAATCGGGTCGAATCAGGATTCGAACACACAATCATTGGTCTCTGGCATGCCCAAGGGACGCAACTTAGACGACTGGGCCACCCGTGTCCCTTAACGTTTTGTGTGTGGATTTCCTTTTTTTGTGGATTTCCCAAGAGATTGGTAATTAAGTCCTATTACTGTATTCACTTAAAAGATCACATGACATCCCTTAACTTGGCAATGGCTAACATCGTTGTTTCCTCAATAATTGTTAGTATCTTATCTAAGGTATAACTTAAACATGTTACAAACCAGAGTATTTTGAAAATTCAGAATTTCCATACACAATTTTAAGTAAAGGTATTTCGTAGGTGAAAGGTTAGTGAAGTTGTCAAAGGGGTATTACAAAGTGTTTGTAGTAGTACTGAAGATGAATGTAATGTTTATTGAGCTCTTCGTTCGATTGCAGTATTTGCAAAGCATGTTCACCACCAACTCGTTGTCAACAGATATTTGCGAAATCTTTTCATGTTTTCAAATAAAGATGCTCACGTGATTTGGTGCACTTCGCGATGTAAGACCCGTTTTATCACAATATAGATCTTTATTATTGACCAGATCGTCTTGACTGGGCGCCGTCATGTTAGAAGCAAATGCTAGTGATACGAGAGGTGGAATCTGATTGGACCACAGGCGAGGCGTAAAAGGGACATAACTCGTAATAGCCAGTGGTGGCGCCACGATCGAGGCAAGGAATTCAAGCCTAGTTCGGCAAGGGTGGAAACTGGACTTTTAAAGTCAGTTAACTCTCTTGCCTCGGGAATGTGGGATCCACAACGTCACAGCAGAATGTCACGTCCACCAACCATGGCGTTCCCACCCGATGCTTTTACAGTATCTTGTACATACTGAATAAATATTGGATAAGTTTAAAAATCATAAAAAATGTTACTCCCATACCCAAAGACATGTAAATATGATTCCTCACGGTGTCTGACCAACAGCCTTTTTTTAAGGCTTGGTGTCTATCCCTGTGAAACATGACACATGTTGCCAGCCTGGGACCCAATCGTTCATACCTTGGACCCCCACAAAATAATAATACCCCTGGGATAGACCCAGTTAAATATCTGTACTCGGCAGACATGAGTACTGGTTAAAGTGTTTACTATGAGCCCTCCGTAAGATTAGTAAAACAATGGTCAATGTGTACAGTCTCACCCTTTTCTCCACCTAACAATGACATACAACAAAGTTCCGAATTACTGCAAGCAATATATTTTATTTCTACGATAACAACAAATCAACACTTCAAATCATACTCCATTGTCCAGTGATTCTGTCTTTAAAACATCAGTAACATTTATTGTCGCCATCTGTCGACAGAATTATTAAATTAACAATTTCACCTCTATAGTGAGGAGTTCCGTAGCTGAGCCAGTCCGGGTCCAGCGCCCCCTATGCATGATGAACAAATTGTACACATGACTATACAGTGGATGAACCCAAGGGAAGAAAAAATAGCAAATGGACACTTTCTTACATCTTTGATTCTTTTCATAATTCCATCAAAATGTACACACAAGAAAATATTTGCAAGTAGGCGAAGAGCCTTATTTGTAGTGTTAATGCACAATCACTTGTGTCACTAGTCCCAGCCACACAAAGAATCCCAAGGTGAAGGACACACACCATCCACACAGTCTGAGCAGGGTCCTGGACCGGTCAGTTTGGTGGTGAGGATGAAGAGGGAAGTAGCATCACTGGTGAGAGGGTTGATACGGCTGCAGACTAAATGAACACTCCAGAATGCTGGCTAACTGTGACGCCATGTGTCTCACACAAGTTGACCAAGCTCCAAATGTTTGCACCAATATTTGAAAACAAGTTTCTGGCTAGTGAACCTCAGCTGTCTCCGGTTCCCGTGAGTTGCCGGTCTGTTTTGGCTGCATACAGGATCGAGCCACAGACTCGAAAAGCCTGCAAGAAAGACTAGTTAATGTTAAAGGTCCACTAAATTGAACACACAAAAATATATATACATGTATATATTTATTTTTAAGTAAATCTAATCATCTCAACCAACTTTTCAAGTACAATCATCTGAGCTTGTTTTATCAAATTCATACATGTCAGTTTGCGTTCATGTAATATTCAGGGAATGCTAAATCTGAATAGAAATCAGAATAGTGAGATGGACAGTGCAATTGAGTTGGAAGTTTAATCCTGCTTTAAACAGTATTCCAGCTACATCATGGCGTATCAGCATAATGTTGGAGAAAAGCCCAAGAGAGGTCTCTGGTGAAAGCCATGAGCATGGGTATGCTGTGGACAATCCTAGAAACTGATCAGGGTGAACCAGGATTTGAACCCACAATCATAAGTTTATGGCATGCCCTAGGGACTGCCAGTGAATTGTGGTGCCTCTGACAACAGGACTACCGTGGACCCGTGCACATTAAGATAACTAACTGTCACCAAATTAGTTATCTATTCAACAATACCAAACAACATAACAGAACATGCCACTGCCTATTATGTTGGACTTACTTTTGGTACAACGTATGTCAATATCCGGACCGTGAAGATAGTACTTACTTGTCAATCTCCGGTGCACAGTGGACAAACTCATGACTCCAGAACTTGAATGTGGAGTTTTTGATGAGCTCAATGAATGTGATGAGAAGACCCCATGGGTGAGGCCGGTTGACAATCAGACGTTCAAGTAGCACTCTGAAATAACGAAAAACACAGATCAGTAAGTACCTTTGCTGACCTGCACCAACCTGAAATAAGCCCTTTGTTAATAAACTGACACTCTTGAACAATTCTTAACTGTATCATAACATTGTAGTTCAACTGGAACATACCAGCATACAACAGACACCAAACAAGATCAGTTATATTTCTGAATGTCATACTTCAAGATGTCTTGAAGGGACCAGTTCAAAGGTTTGATGTCGAATAAAAATACTAATTCCTTAAGTTTTGAGACATACCCCTTTACCCCCAAAAAACTTAATTCTCAAAATGTTAAGTCCCGAGTTTATCGGACATCGAACTTTTGAACTAGTCTGTAAATGTCATTATGTAGTATCAATGAATGCAGTTGACCAACAGATTTCAACTTATTTATTCAACTATATTTCAACTTATTATTCAAAGAGATGTTTCGGTACAGATGCTAGTACCAATAGAGAGATGCAAACTGGCACCAACTTTCTAGCCCAAGTAAGTGTCTCTGGTGTTTATGACATCTCAAGGGAAAGTACAATTTCAGTCTTTAGAGGCAGTCCTATATGTTATCACTGTTTGGTCTAGTACATGTTTCAGGTTGCATCCCTGCCTAATGAAGAAACAGGGCAAGACTTGGTCATATTGTTCACATAGCAGCAAGCCATGAGGAACAAGTGGCATATGGTGTGACCATCAAACAAAACGTATAGATACAGTGACACTATGAATCTGAAATAACACAAGTCTGAGCTAAATCATCTCCCCATGTAGCAGTGGTGAGGTCAACCCATGGGTAAGCAAATAGGTCCTCAATGGGCACTACTTGTCGAAACAAGCAACTAAATGAATCCGGTGGTCAGACTCTTTGACTTAGTTGATTGCAAGTCACTGTATCCCTATTGTTTGGATCAATGCTGATGAAGCCAAACACTGGATTGTGTGATCCAGATTTAATTAAAAAAAAATGCCATCACAAAGCTGTAGTATTTTTGAGTGCGCATTAAACAAACAAAAACAAAAACAAAACAATCATTAAATAACCCGAAAAAAAATACACACATCACTTTTACATCATAGTGGCAGTATGTATTCATGGGTGACAGGATGAACATTGTGTATTGCGAGCCATGAAGTACTGACAAGGTCCAGCATGGTGATCCTACCTTGTGATTTGTTCCTGGATCTGCTCATTGTTGGCCTGCACAAACAGGTAGAGCAGCGTGCAGCTGAAGTAGTGAGTATGACTGTTGGGATAGCGCAGCTGGTTGGCTATCGCTGTCAGGAACAGGTACCGACCTACAAAAGAACAATAACAAGCTAGTTTCTACTTTCACAATCTCTATAATCCCTGAGTATCTATCCTTAATGATTGCAAACTGGGCTCACTGGGTCTAATCTGCTTCAGAAGAATAGAGAATTTACAATACAGTTCTTACTTAAACTTTCAGACAACAGACACGAGAACTGCAAAACTTGTTTTTGGAGGAACATCGCCAATCTTGCCAAACTAGGGGGGTTTAGGGGCATGCAACATCAAAACATGCAACATGCAAGGATTAAAATAAGTGCATTTTACATCATTCTGAGAGGAAAAATCCAAGAATTCCAGGAATCCGAGGAAAATTCTCATGTCTGAGACAAGTTTTCTGTACCCAATCTGTAATAAACATCTGCAACTAACCTTCTGTATCAAGGTTGACGGCGAGATTCTGAAAGATGTCCATGTGTGATGAAGGAGCTATGGTGCTTATAGCCGGTGTCTGTCCCTTGGTGTGTATGAACTGGATGGCCTGCGTGCCCACATACAGGACCAGTGCATTGATCAGGGGGATGTTGTAGTGGCAGCCTGGCTCATTGGACTGAAAACATCATGGACTGCATCATCACTACACCTAACAAACACATGGTATTTATAACATCTCTACGGATTTATCTAGGATCTAAAAAGCAAACTAAGTGCCCTGGCAGGTTAATTGATCTTTCATACAACAAAATTTATACGTAGCCAGCGCAGCCAGCTGGGCTTGCTCCTTTCAAAAGTTACTGGCCCTTCTCCAAACTGAGATGATATTTGAGCCAACCAATCACAGGACCTCATCCCCATCAATATTTGCTCATCGAAATTACATGATTCACGAGCTGTGTCGAATTAAAAAAATTAAAACAAACAGAACGGGTGATATTTTGACTAGCTAGATGGGCTATTAGCTTTATACTACAGCAAGCCTTTCGTATTTTTAACTGGCCATGGGCCAACGGGGCAGCAGTTTAATTGACCCCTGCAATCTGTACCAAACAGACAGGTGGATGATAATGAGAGCACTATCAAGAAAGGACAACATAGCAAAGTAGTAATCAGCTTTCTTCATATGACCCAATCCACACTGTTATTGGTGCGGTTGAAGAACTGGAAGCCCCAAAATGATGGTGCAAGGAAGCAACAAGCCATCAGGCTTGTCGAGTTACTTTCATCGATTACTCTTGAGTGTTGGTAGCCAAAACCCACTCATGCCACCCACCTGTAGACTGCTCCTCAGTTCAGACAAGAAGGATATGGGAGTCCTTGTCTTCAAATAAGAGTCCAAGTCCTGATAATCAAAGCAAATGAGACATAATTATTTTCACTGCTATAACGAAAATCCAAACTAACTTGTCCAAAACCTTACATAAATGAAGGGAAGCTAATATCCAATGGACATGTAAACTTTTTCTAATTAATAGTTTGAGTCAAATATTTTTGTTAAATACATCAACACAATTTGAAAATATTTAAGTAAATGACATCTGACCTTCACAGCAAGTCAGCAACTATCAACTAAACATTATCATCCTACATTTTACTATCCACGTTCAATTGTTTTCTCGGAGTTACTTAGTTGGGTTTCAAACAAGGTAAACCCCATCCATGACCAGCATAAGACTTCATAAATACTTAATATGTCACTTGTTGTTGGTACTGTGGTCACTATGGGTCCCCCATGTCCATGACTGTGGCCCCCTAAGAGCAAGACTGAGAGACCCAGGGTCCCAGGTTAATCCCTGCCTACCTTTTTGAATGAAGCTGGCTGAATCATGTTGACGAAGTTGGTGAGGATGCGAGGGGGATGTGTGATGTCAGGCAGGGTGTCCACCTTCAGGTTGGGGGTGAAGGGGTCTGGCAGCCGCATGTTGCGGGGGAAAGCACTAAGAATGAGGTTGCGCATCTGAATGCAGTTGGGTGGGATGACGTCACAGAATGCATAGTGATAATCACAGAGGAATTCTGGGAAATCATGCAGCAGGACCAACAGGACTCGTAATGTTCCCTGCAACAAAAGTACATATGTAGTCACTGACCTGAAGAACACATGCAGTAACTGACCTAAACAAAACACATATGCAGTCATTGATCTGAACAAGACATATGCAGTCACGGACCTGAACAGTAACACATATGCAGTCATTGACCTGAACAGTAACACATATGCAGTCATTGACCTGAACAGTAACAAATATGCAGTCATTGACCTGAACAGTAACACATATGCAGTCATTGACCTGAACAATACACAATACATATGCAGTCATTGACCTGAACAGTAACACATATGCAGTCACTGACCTGAACAGTAACACATATGCAGTCATTGACCTGAACAATACACAATACATATGCAGTCATTGACCTGAACAGTAACACATATGCAGTCACTGACCTGAACAGTAACACATATGCAGTCACTGACCTGAACAGTAACACAAATGCAGTCATTGACCTGAACAGTAACACATTATGTCATATGCAGTCATTAACCTTGAACAACAATACATATGCAATCCCTGACCTGAACAAATAACACCAGTATTGTTATTATTTTCTACTTGAATAAGACTTGCTTGGTTTTTTTGTTGTTGTTGGTTTTTTTGTTTGTTTGTTTTAACGTCACACTCGGCAATACTCCTGCTATATGACAGCGGACAGTGAATAATCGATGATACGCATGATGATACGATGATACTGGGATACGATGATACGCATCAACCAAATCAGCGAGCCTGACCACCCGATCCCGTTTGTCGCCTCTTTCAACAAGCATGGGTTCCTGAAGACCTATTCTCCCCGGATCTTCACGGGTCAGACTTGCTTGGTAAACGTACTAGAACAAACAGTGAAATAAAAAAACTGTGTTCATAACAAACTAGGACTGCTTCCTTACCCTGTACAACAGCTGTGTCGGCTTTGTCAGTTCAGCATTCCTCAAGAAGGGAGAGAGGAAGCGGAACAGGTCAATCAACAGTTGAGCATACATTCCCCAGCCCTGAAACATGGGAGTTACGTACATCAACAACGTGAAAACTCATCTGAGATGATTGTTTGTTTGTTTGTTTGCTGTTTTACGCCACACTCAGCAATATTCCAGCTATATGCAGCGGTCTGTAAATAATCAAGTCTGGACCAGACAATCAAGTGATTGATATCATGAGCATTGATCTACGCAATTGGGATACGATGACTCGCATCAATCAAGTCAGCGAGCCTGACCACCCAATCCCGTTAGTCGCCTTTTACAACAAGCATAGTAACCTATTAAGGCAAGCATGGGTTGCTGAAGACCAATTCTACCCGGGATCTTCACGGGTCTCATCTGACATGAAACAAGAAGGCAACTTATTAATGATCAAATTCCATACACAGCAATGGTACCTACCCTCTGTTGAGGTGTGAGGGCCAGAAGCCGACCGATGAAGACACGGTGAGAGACCAGCTCTAACCAGGCATACGCAAATCCAGGGGCTTTCCCAGGCCTCAAGATGTGGAACACATGGCTGAAAACAAACTCCAATAGTCAAGAGATGGGTGAGGGAAGTAGCATATCTTATGTAAAAGCGTCAGGGAAACCAACACTGACTTAAGAAATTGTACTTCTGTCATAATTGACATAAAACCTATTCAGATAGTAGAAGCATAGTCTTGTGGAATCAAGTTACAGACAACCATATAATCAAACTACAGTGGTACACACAATTCCACGTAAGAAAGGTGTCTTACCAAAATGCTGCCAACACTTGAAAGTTGATGCTCTCTAGGATGGGTTCTGGTGCATTCAACTCAATGAAGAGCATGATAAAGATGCGGTGATAAGGCAGCTGCTGGAACTCCGTGTACCGGACTTCATGGTCCTGAAGCAGCACACCAGCTACTATTCCCAGTACCTGCAGAGGGGACGTCCAGTGTGAGTGAAGGCAATATATATACGGATGTGTGAGTACGAGATGCTTCTTTCTTTGATGTTTAATGCAGCACTCAGCAATATTCCAGCCATATGACGGCAGCCTGTAAATAATCGAGTCTGGACCAGGCAATCCAGTGATGGATATTGTGATCCACGCTGTCAGGGTACGATGACGCGCCATCAACCGAGTCACTTAGCCTGACCACCATCAATTTGGTCGCCCCTTATGACAAGCAAAGGTTGCTAGGGACCTATTCTACACCAGAATCCCATATTGGGATGTGGGGATGTGGGGATGTAGGGATGAGAACCTGCTGTGGAAGCTAATGGTTATCTAGAACACAGCAGACAGCAAGGTTCAACAAGTAGTGTCTGTTGTAAATCGCACAGAACAACTCATTTTCGAGATGAACCTACTGTTTCAAGTTCCAGATGCTCAAAATCGATTCAACATCCATAAAGTTTATTGAATCGGAATGTGCAGTTTGACACTGCTAAATTGAAACCACGGTTGGTTGAACTTGACAACAAATGACATGAATGCTTTCATAATTGTCGTAGGAATGAGTGATTTTACTCTAACATGTAGTTTGGTTGAATGGTTAAATTCAGGGATCTTTTTGTGTAAGTTTGCAATCATTGTCCTGACGCTACTTAATTTATTCAACACCAGACAGAAAGGACAGATGCCCCAGTGCAAATGATCCTCCAAATTGAAAATGAGTTTCTTGCAGCGGATTGTTGGAAAGTACACAACACTACTGTTTCTATTCTACATACAACTTGCCCATGCATTGTGACACAGTAGACAGAGCGTCACAGTATGTGATAGAGTGCTGCCAAATGTTCAACTGTGTTGAAGTTACCCTAAGTCAGTGAGGGCTTCAGTCCCGCCCTTTTAACTGCATATAGGACCCACAACACAGTTTAGATCATTTACCAAGAAAAATCACTCAGAATCAATGAGGAATAAAAAATGTCATGATAGAACCATCCTGGAACCACAGATCAAAATGCTCCATGTCAATCTGCATACACCAGAAAGGAAAAGCTGCAGGAAATCGAAAGCTCTGGTTTCAAAATACAGTCGAACCTCGTTATATTGAACCCCATTAACTCAAACGTACCGATAACTTGAACCCTTTCAAGGTTCATACAGATAAGGAATACTAAAATTTCAAGACTTTTCAAGGCCTTCAACTGTCATTTTGAAGGCTTTCTTAATTGGGTTATAAGCAGCATCTTGTACATACTTTTCTGAATTTCTAGCTTACTATATATTAGTCGTAAGACCTATGATGCAGTATGAACATCACAAATGTTCAAATAAGATTGATTTTCACAACCAACAAATAAAATAAATTAAGTCTGTCATGAATTCTTCAAGGTCTTTGAAACAATGTAAAATCTATCACTGTAATTATTCACAATTAACATCCTTGGTACATAACTATAGTTATTGTGTGTTTTAATACTTTTATTAACAAGGTTATATCTTATCCTCATTGTTCTACATGGATGTAACCACCTCAGTGGTCTAGTGGTAGAGCGTCTGCCCGGAGAGCAGAAGGTCCGGGGTTCGATTCCTGGCCGCATCATAGTAAAAGACATTAAAAGATGGTACTTGTTGTTACCCTGTCTGGCGCTCGACATTAAGGAGCTAAAACAAGGACTGGTCGGCTCGGAGTCAGTATACTGTGTCTGAGTGAGGTATTCACGTCAAACTGCGGCATTGTATCTCAGTGTGCTAGCACTATAAATCAGCATCAGTCCGGACTAGCACAAGCACAAGCACAAGCACACACACACACACACACACACACACACACACACACACACACACACACACACACAGTACATGCACGTCGCTATATCAGTGCAATAATCTTGGACGCGACGTTAAACCCAATTTCACCTTACCTCTACATGTATGACAAAACAAGTAAACATGAACAGGTACAAAGCCAGTCCTCCTCCCCACCTTGTTGAGTAGGTTGATCTTGGTGACCGTGTTGGTCGTATCCCCCGAGTGTTTCACCAGCAGCGCAATGAGTCGGACAAACGCATCCAGTGTGTGGAAACACTTGGCTCTGATGAGTGTAGGGCTTGTGTGGGTCTGCTCGCTGAGAGCCCGGTAACACAGGTCAACACACATCTCGGTACACAGGCGGAAGAAGCGGGTGATCAGATCATCTGTCTTCAGGATGCCTTGCTGGTGCATCTAACAGAAACAGAAACACGTACCTATTACTATAGACTGAAAGAACAGCTGACCAGTTTGTATTTTTTCCATATTGCTGTATGTGAAGTTTTGATAGTATGAATCTTACATTTTCTGTCACAAATAGAAACTGGTTTCTTTTAGCGTATCAAGAAGCAGAGTTTTGAAAAAAGTTATATATAATATTTGACCTACTGCAACAGGTAAGGATGAAAATAAAACAGCCTCATAGAACTAGGCTATGTTCAGAACAGTTATTTGTTATTGCACAATAGTTTTACAGACATGCAACATTCATGTCAATTTTAGTCAAAGATCAAACTGTTAGATTCATACATACATAAACTTTGTGCCCTACTGCAGAGTTGAATGCTAGTGTGTTAATGCCTTGACTGCAGGTTGTACATGCATGATTATCTAGTGTTGTCTGCCATGCAACTCAGAACTCACGTGGCCAGATTGTTGTGTAAAGGAGAAATAGGAGGTACCACTATTCTCTTGAAGAGACAAAATGAGAGGACAGGTTTAGAAATGTCACTTCAGTGCCCCACCAAATAAAATCCTGCAATTATAATGATACCCAGACATATTTTGAGGCATAATTCTGATTATTTTATTATCAAAGTGATGAAGAGTGATAAAAGTTGTATTGATACTATCTTATTTGTTCAAACCTACAATGCATAATTTCCCCATTCCAACAGACAAATCAAATAATCTGGAAGTAGATTACAACACCTCTTACTGCTGCTTGTTCCACCCTACATGATCACACTATGCATGATTCCAATAAATTGTAGCAATCCTGAATTAAGGATAAATTACAATTTCCGAATTTTCCTACCAATATCATTTTTGCAACACTGAAATACCACCTTTCCATTTCCATATAGTGCTTACAATCATTTAAATCTTTGAATCTTCTTGATATAAATCAGCACATCATATACATAATATGACAACACACGATACCTTGGAGAATAGTGACAAAATACCAAGATTGACAAAGAAATTGGCCTGCAGTAATATCCTATTCATAATGATGCACTATCGGTCCAATCCTACTGAAGGGCACTGAAATGCTGACAGGATGAGTGGTATGGTGTGAGTGTAAAAGCAGATTTCAAACCTTCCATCACGGACATGTAAGTCACTATGAGAGTGGTGTGCAGGCAATGGTCACTATGAGCTGCTGTCTAGTAAATGGGTGAGACATGAGGGGTTCAACCACAAACAAAACTGATCGTACCACCTGCTGAACAAAAGCAGAAAAGGCCTTTGTGCTGTCCCGCCCAGCTGCAGGGGAGTGGTACATGTTGACCCACTCCCTCAGCAAATACTCTGTTTTCTCGTTCAGGCCTGGGGGGTCGTCAAACTCTCGCGCTTGGGAGATTCCTGACTGCATCATGGATGTGGGGCCACCTGGTGTTCGATCGAGGAGTCCTCCATCACTGTTCTGACGGATAATCTCAATCAGTGTTGAGAGGCTGGAAGTAGGTAATCACTGAGTGAGTTAGTGAGTGAGTATGGTTTTACGCTGCTTTTAGCAATATTCTAGCAATATCACATTGGGGGACACCAGAAATAGGATTCACACATTGTACCCATGTGGAGAATTGAACCAGGGCCTTAAGCATGACAAGCGAACGCTTTAACCACGAGGCTACCCCACCGCCCACTATACAAGCATGACTGCTATGAGGTATAATGATATGGTGGGGCAGTGATATGATATGTATCCCGATACTATGGGTGCGATACAATCGGTATCCCAATGTAGTATTTATAATTCATAACTGGATATTTTTTTCTTTTTGTACATGAATCATTTTTATTCAATTCTAGAGAGGGAAGATGGGATATTGTAGGACAGTTTCTGTTCTGCCTCATATCACGATACAATTCTGTATTGCTGTATCGTTACACCACTAATGACTGTCGAGATGCGTCTGTCCATCAAAGACTTAGTGAGTGAACAACTGGGATCTGACACTGTAAATCAGGACATTCTCATCCATTTAATGCCAGTGACACCATGACTAAAAAAGTGATGAGGTGAAGTGTAATGGGACTTAACATTGTGTCAATGTTTGCACTTAAATAGCGACAAAGGTGACAATGAAAGCAGAGAAGTAAATGAATGTTGTTTTACACCACCTTCACCTACACTGAAGCCATGTCAGGCCGGACGGTACTTTACTCAATCTGTATGACACAGAGACTTGTAGATAGGGTCATCAGGTCAAGATAAAACAGTCAATCAGGTCGACATTCTCAACAATAGATCCCTGTTTGGGTTTATTCTTATCACAAGCATAGAGGAAAAGGGGCTAGTCTTCCTTGAATACCAGGACATCAGTATTGTGATCATTCGTCAAAATAATTGTTTGCAATATTTCAGCTATATGGTGGTAATCTGTAACTAATGGAGTCTAAGGCACAATCCAGGGATTGATATTGTGGCCAATAATTCCATGCCGGTACGATGACGTGCTATCGATCCAGTCACCAAGCCTGACCACCTGGTCCATTTGGTCAGCATGTTCTAACCCAGAATCCCCATTGGGCTCAAAACAAGTGAGAAGTGGCTATCGACTGCATAACTGTCAATACCTAGCCACAATGAATCAACATTCAAGACAATGACAGATAGTCTGGCATAGCCTTCTAGGAAGACCTAAACTCTACACTCAGCATTCTGTGCATGTAACAAGCTCTCTTTATTGTCCTACTTACCCTTCTGGGTGTTGTCTTGATCGGGACGCAATGGCACCAAGAGCTTCTATTGTATTGTAGAAATCAGCCTGAGGATAAGAAAGCCGTTACACCATAAACTTCACTTCATAAAGCTCCAGTGTTAGTCTCCATTTATCTACATTAACACCAAAAGGTGGGAAATTTTCTGACATTCAAACCATACAGACCATCTGGCAAGGAATCAGTCTTGATAAGTGACAATGACAAGTCGCCATGTACACAATGATTTTAATTGACAATCTTTCACAATAGATTCTGTTTCTAACTGGCATTTCTTTTTTTTATTCCAGCCGTTCTTTTTTCAAGAAATGTTTTGACCTAGTCATCTTAGTGTTACGTTCACAACACATGGTTGACATGACTGCTGCCTTCAAATTTCACGCTAGTCAGCTAGTCAGCGACTACTGACTTGTGCTGAGGACAAGTAAAAGTCTAATGATGGTGGTCCTCACTGACCAGTTGTACATGGAGGCTATAATTCTGAATCAGTTCTTCTTGCTTCAACTTTCTACAAATTGGAAATGGTTGACATGACCTGCGGTGAGGCTGCACTGACCTCACTGACGGAGCTGTTGTGCTTGTCATCGATACAGAAGCGCTGGACCAGCTGCATGGAGAAGGAGACGGCCACGTGGTTGAGTCCGTTCTCCATCAGCTGGGACAGGTACACGTCGTACTGCTGCAGGTTGACCAGGCCGCTGCGGATGAGGCAGTCCACTGCATCTATGTTGTACTTGAACTCGTCACGGCACTGGATCAAGCATCTGCAGACAGGAACAGTTGGTTACAATGTGTCACTTGAGACTGAACTCCATTATACATTAATAAAGACTTTGGCAGCATCTTCTCAGAAAGAGGTGAGGTGAAATGGGGTTTAACGTCGCGTCCAAGATTATTGCACTTATATAGCGACGTGCATGTACGTGTGTGTGTTTGTGTGGCTGCTTGTACTAGTCCGGACTGATGCCGATTTATAGTGCTAGCTCACTGAGATACCATGCCGCAGTTTAACATGAATACCCCACTCAGACACAGTATACTGACTCCGAGCCGACCAGTCCTTGTTTTAGCCCCTTAATGCCGAGCGCCAGACAGGGTAACAACAAGTACCATCTATTAACGTCTTTTGGTATGACGCGGCCGGGGATCGAACCCCGAACCTTCCGCTCTCCGGGCGGATGCTCTACCACGAGACCACGGAGGAGGTCCTTCTCAGAAAGAAATAGCTGCTGAAATCACCTACAGGGTGAAATCTTGAAATTAACAGAATTACTGTGGATTCATGTGGACCTATGTTTCTTTGTTCAGTTTTGGATACTCAACTCACGTGACATCGTCACAATTCAGTGGACTGATGATTCTAATAATCGGCTTCTATTTAAGGACAGATTTTAGACAAACCAAACCTATATAACTCAACTCAATTCCAGGTGGGGACTGATCGCTTGGAGATTGTCATGCGAACAGTATTTTAGGCGTGTCATTAATTGGAAATTATAGCATCGATTATATTGACTCAGTCAAATGTATCACAACATATTGAGGTATTGATTAATAATAAACATTCTTTATTCTGTATCATATAAAGACTCCCTATACACAAATGTAGACCTGCAATTGATCAATTTAATGCTAAATGTGAACTAAACTGATCCAATAAATGTTTAGAACTGAATCTTTTGCTTTTGCCTTTTCATCGTCCATCTTAACCATGGTAATCTCAATAATCTTAATGCTCAAAATGAAACATCTCAGTACCCCAATCAAAAGTTGTACATTTCCACTGTGACCTCATGTACTGACCTTGTGACCTCCTTGTTGACCCACTGTGGCCCATACGCCCGGGCATCCTGTAGTCCTTTCAGCACCACAAGATGGCACTCCCTGAATCGGAGCAGCATCTCCTGGTCGGTATTGGTCAAGGAGTTCATGGAGTACTGGTCCAGCAAACCCTCCACGGCCTACAATACAACACTCACAGATTGTCCCAGCAGACAAAACAGCAACTTTCTCCATATGACGACTTAGCAACTGACAACTCATTTACACAATGCTCTAAGAATGGATAATTACTGTGTCAAATTCATATCACATTGTACTCTTAAAGAACCTTTGTTTCAAGTCAAACATAAAGCAACAAAATCAACAACTAGACCAGTTTGCATCCTGCTAATATTCAATTTCGACTTGACTTGCTGCCAACCTCAACATGTTCTGCTTCGTACCTTCTGAAGTAAAGCTATAGCTGTAACAATCTCTCTGGAGTTCCTGGCAAGGAGGACAGCCTCCAGCAGACTGTGAAGCTGGGACCCCATGGGGCTGCCAGCTGGGATACCCATCATCTGCTGCAGATGCTGCTCAATGTCCCGGGCAATCTTCTCATAGATCATAGTGATCTCATCAGGTGCATAAGACTGAAAGGAGATAGAAATATTCACAATCTCTCTTCCTTCATGTAAAAAAACGGCGTAAAAACCATACTCACTCACTCACTCCTTCACGTAAAGAAATATTGTTCATATCCTACTTAAGGCTGAAAGAGACAGAAATATTCACAATATGTTTTCCTTCATGTAAAGAAACGTTGTCCACATCCTACTTAAATTTTGGTCAAAGACCAAATCACAGACAAATACTTAACAAATGTAGATTGTTAAAACATTGTTGTTTATTTCTTACTTTCAGACAGGAGACAGGTATATAGACAAGGCTTGCACTTACTGGTGTAGGTTTTGAGATTCCGGGGGGGAATGTGGCATCAGTGAGGGGCAGGAAGCCAGGGATGTTCCTGGCAAACTCGTCATAGACGGCAATCTGCTGGGGCGTCACTCCTCCCACCTGAACAACAAACACAGTGGTAGAAATCAGTTTACTTCTTTCAAGGATATTTACAGTCTGTGACTTCTAATAATAGGCAAAAGTGTTTCAGTTGGCACATTCCAAAAGCACTACTAAATCGCATTGCTTCCTTCAATTAGATCATCAAATAGGTTCATATTTCTTAAAGTGAGTGTATTTACTTTGGCCGACAATCTGCTACCATATTACAAGTTGTATATTGTCAAGTATAAAGGAATTTCTGTCCTATGTTTGTCACTTGTACAACCCAGACTGTGACTTTAGCCACTCGACCGAAACCCAAGTAATATTCAAGTAAAATTTTGTTCGGTCTGGCAAGTGAACAATAGTCCATGTACCACTAAAGTATACAGAACATGATGCTGAGAGATGAGTTCGGGCAAGTGGCAAGTTTTGACCAGGACTGCAACTCACCTTGAGTCGAATCTGATCCGGCATTCTCTCAGCTTGGTAGGGCAGAACTATAGGATCACAGTACCTTCTTCCCTCGGATCTGGCATGTTTCCTCAAATCAAACTCCTGCCAAATCAAACAAATTCCTTTATAAAGAGTCTCAAAATACGTGATAAGAACATACAACAATTACTGTGAACAATGATAGGTCAAGTCACTGGGAGAGTTTGGGGCTACCTTTTATCTGGGGTGAAAATCTGAAGTTTGTTTTGTTCGTTTGTTTGTCGTTTAACACCGCACTCAGCGATATTCCAGCTATACGACAGAGTTCTGTAAATAATCCAGTCTGGACCAGACATTCCAGTGATTGACATAATGAGCACTGTTCTATTCAATTGGGATACAATGACATGCATCAACCAAGTCAGTAAGCCTGACCTGAACACCCGATCCTGTTAGTTGCCTCTTACGAAAAGCATAGTTGCCTCTTACAACAAGCATGGGCTGCTGAAGACCTATTCTTACCATGATCTTAACAGGTAAAAAATCTGAAGTACTGTTATAAGAAGTGGACTGAAAGATGAGTGAAATGAGATAAGTGTTGGTAACTTACAGTAGCGAGTCTCTTATCCATCTCTGGGATGGCCCTCTCCACTGCAGTCTTCTGTATGAAGGCACAGGCCAGTTCAGCATTGTCCTGGGCCACAAGGGTGGCGGCTTCTTCAATCAGGGTCTTCTGAGCTTGGGTGGCACCCTATACAGCAAACAGTTCACTCATGACTAACTGTACTACATGAAGCATATGCTTATCACAACTATGGCAACACATCTTTAGTCATACCAACAATCCGTGTAGTTCATATCGACACAAAACAACTATTTCAACATCACATTTACATTAGCAAAGTCTATACACTTCTTAAACAAGAAAATTCTGGGTAAAGATATGTAACAGCTACAGATGTCTTACTCTGAGTGTGGCCATGAAAGCATTCTTGAGGTTGTTGTTAATACTGATGAAGAGGGGCTCCCTGCATGTGATGAGGGCCAGTCCGGCAGTGATGTTGCGCACCATGTAGTGTGCCGCCGACCTCATCCGCATCTCCTCGGGGTCCAGGGCAAAGTCCTGGCAATCACATATTACAGCTTGAAATTGAAGCATAACTCTACAATGTCAATAATGTCCCTTTCTTGACTTGACCATAGCACTTTCTGGACAGCATCATGGTACAAGTCCCATTGCAATTTTTTCTGCTAGAAACTTCTTCCAGAATGCCATGCTGACTATGACAACTAATATCATCATCCAAACACCTTTTATGGATCAAACTGCCCTCTTCTAGACATATATCAAAGAGAACAGTTTCCACATAGAGACTTATGATTCTAGTTTTTTATCCTAAGAACATAATAAAAGTCAACAGGACAGACAAGAGATCAAACATTGAGGACTCTTAAAATCTGAAAAAAGAAACAGCTTATGCTCTCGAACAGCCAGAGATGTAGTTGAACTGACAGAGTCAGGATGTCACTGCTACGTACCTTCCTGACAATCTGTTCACATGTGGTTAGCGCTATCTTGATGGATCTCTCCACCACGGGTGGCAGTAGCTCCTGCACAGACCTCTCGATGGCGGGCCTCACATACTGCTTCAGCTGCGGGTTCTGGTGCAACAGAGCAATCTGCAAAACAAACACATTAATCGTAACTGATTTGTCAGTACAATCTGCATACATGGCGTACAAGTCAGTCCAATGTTAAAGGTATCATGAGTGAGTTAATATTTAACATCACATCGGCATTATCTCAGCCATGTTGGTTGGTTGGTTTGTTGTTTAACGCTACACTCAGCAATATTCCAGCTATATGACCGCGGTCTGTAAATAATCGAGTCTGGACCAGACGATCCAGTGATTAATATCATGAGCATCGATCCACGCAATTGGGATCGATGACATGCATCAACCAAGTCAGCGAGCCTGACCACCCGATCCCGTTAGTCGCCTTTTACAACAAGCATAGTCACCTTGGGTTGCTGAAGACCTATTAAACCCCGGAATCTTCACGGGTCCTCAGCCATGTAGTGAAGAGTAAAGGTATCATGAGGACTGGCAGAATTTTTAGGCTTTTTAGGGACATATATACATGTGATTATCATTCAGACTAGTATACATTTTAGTTTAATTTCTAAAATTTAATGTACCTTGTATAATTCTGCAGGTTGTTCATACTGAATATTATCCATGTTCAAACCATTATAATACATATTCTACATTCATCAAAAGTAAAATCAATATCCCTAATGGAATAATCTGCCCATAGTGGTGAAGATATGAAAGCGGCATCATACCTGATCATTGATAATGATGTGCTGAGCCAGGCCTGTAAATGATGACGCATTGACATCATGGAAACTGTATGTTGGTTGTGGCGGCAGGTTTGGTGTCGATACTGGTGCAGTGGACGTAGGTGTAGACATGGTTGTTACAGATGTCACAATGGGTGGAGGGATAGACATAGATGTGAGGCTAGGCACGACAGACTCTTCCGCCGGTGGGAGTGGCGTACCGATCTGGGGCTTGGGTGCAGATAGCTGGCACTCGATTGTTGGGAGTCGCATTGGATCTTTTAAATAATTGGTGGGCTTCAGTTCCTAAAACATGAAACAGATAAATATTGACAAAGTTCATCAATAACATGATGTAATTCTACAGTAAACAAATGTCATCAGTCCCTCTGAGAACCTACTATGTATAAAGGCAGGGATTTATCCAGATCTGCTCAGAGGCCGATCAAAACCCAAAATGATTTAACTTCATCATGAATCAACAAATATTTTCAAACCAAAACAACTTAATACTGTCACTTACATTGATATCAAGTCCCAGTGTTTTACATGGCACTTCTATTTCAAACTTGAAGCTGTGACTTACATTGATATCGAGTCCCTGTGTTTTACATAGCATTCTATTTCAAACTTGAAGCTGTGACTTACATTGATATCAAGTCCCAGTGTTTTACATAGCACTTCTATTTCAAACTTGAAGCTGTGACTTACATTGATATCAAGTCCCAGTGTTTTATATGGCACTTCTATTTCAAACTTGAAGCTGTGACTTACATTGATATCAAGTCCCTGTGTTTTACATGGCACTTCTATTTCAAACTTGAAGCTGTCACTTACATTGATATTAAGTCCCCGTGTTTTACATAGCACTTCTATTTCAAACTTGAAGCTGTCACTAACATTGATATTAAGTCCCAGTGTTTTACATAGCACTTCTATTTCAAACTTGAAGCTGTCACTTACATTGATATCAAGTCCCAGTGTTTTACATAGCACTTCTATTTCAAACTTGAAGCTGTCACTTACATTGATATCAAGTCCCAGTGTTTTACATAGCACTTCTATTTCAAACTTGAAGCTGTCACTTACATTGATATCAAGTCCCAGTGTTTTACATAGCACTTCTATTTCAAACTTGAAGCTGTCACTTACATTGATATCAAGTCCCAGTGTTTTACATAGCACTTCTATTTCAAACTTGAAGCTGTCACTTACATTGATATCAAGTCCCAGTGTTTTACATAGCACTTCTATTTCAAACTTGAAGCTGTCACTTACATTGATATCAAGTCCCAGTGTTTTACATAGCACTTCTATTTCAAACTTGAAGCTGTGACTTACATTGATATCAAGTCCCAGTGTTTTACATAGCACTTCTATTTCAAACTTGAGGTTGAGTTTGAGGTCTGGCTCCATGTGGAGCTCAGCTAGCACGTTCATGATGGCCATGGTCCAGGGATTGGGTGGGCGGAACACCTGAAACACACGAGTATGTCAACTTTAAAACACAAACACAACATGGAATGTACAGCTGTCGGCAAAGTTACAGCCATATCAAGGCAGGCTATAGGTAATTAAATCTTAGTCAGATTTGCCAATGGTTTATCATATGCCAACAGGTTATGTCGACAGCCAGCTGTCCACTCCCTAAGTCAGTGGGCACTTATGACAAGGCATGTTCTGCCTTGGAATGATTAACCTTAGTCAGCAAGTAAACCAAAAATGAAAGAGTGAAACATGTGAGCCTTACCTTGCTCTTGGAGCACGACTCTAGCACTTTAGCACTGAAGGGGACAACGTAGAGTAACTCCTGCGCACCCTTCTGGTAAGCTTCATACAACAGGGCTTTCACATCAATATCCTTGGAAAAGAAGAAAAATAAAATCACTTCAACGAAAATTCAAGGCAAATATGCAACATAGGAAACAACAATCAATCACTGACATGCATATTTGTATATATACACGTCAAAATAAGGGAGCATCATAGATATCAATTATGCTGTGATCTTAGCCAATTGCCTGAAGCCAGTGTCCAGTAAAATTCTGTTCAGTCTTGTAAGATCAGCTACTAATAGTCCTGATAATAACCTTAAAATCTACTGAACATGATGTTAAGAGCCATGTACAGAGCTAGTAGACCTAAAATGTTTTTGGCACAGGTTAATTATGACAATGTAGTGAATGTAATTGGAATTGTTATCATGAATGTTGACAGGTGAAAATAAAAGATGCTGATAATCTAAATGTCAACAATATCATATAGAAAATCATAAAAAGAAATGAAGAATCATGGCTTAATGATTATTTGTTGTTTAACACCGTACACAGCATCATTCCAGCTATATGACGGCGGTCTGTAAATAACTGAGTCTGGACCAGACAATCCAGTGATTGACATCTTGAGCATCAATCCATGCAATTAGGATACAATGCCATGATTCAACCAGAGAGCCTGACCACCCGATCCCGCCTCTTGCCACAAGCATGGGTTATTGATGACCTATTCTCACCCAGATCTTCACGGAAAGGTTTAATGATTCATGCTGCAGCATTATTCCTGTGCGGTGAAATGTCAAGCTTATCACCGGTGTACACAGTCTCACATAGATTGTCAAGAATTTCTTCATCTTAATTAAACAATTAATATATTAAACAGTGCATGAGTTGCTAATACTCACAATCTGTAAGATGGGTTTGTTCTTTCCTAGTGTGAGCATTCCCAACCAGTGACCCAGATTTTTCAGCAACGTTCGGTCTGAAAAGTTAGCAACACCCTTGTCGCTCCTTAACAGAACCTGTAAACATCAACATGTTTTGGTTGTCATACATGGTTACATGAATAGCATCCGTACACATGGAACAGAAATGATTCAGTTCACTGTCCCTCCAGCATCAGATAATTGAACATGGGCAGAAAAACAAGCATGTATTGAAGTCAATAGTAAAGGACAGCAGTTTCCACAGTCGTAGAGCTATGACTGCCTTGTGAAATTAGGTCAGCGAAACCTTAAATAGAATTCCAGAACAAAATGTCCAGTAACTTCGATTTAGATTTTTTAACACTTGTGAATATGTGTCATTTGACATCTTCATTTATCATTCTCTGTTTAACCATAGTGAGGTGAGTTGAGTTTAAAGGCGCTTTTAACAGTATTCCAGTTGTCAGCTTGAAGTGGGAGGAAAGCCCGAATTGATGCAGGCTTCAGCTATTAACCACATTGGTGAAACCCAGGAGCATGGGTATGGTGCTGACAAACCTAGAAACATAATCGGGGCAAACCGGGACTCAAACCCACACTCAGAGTTCTGGCATAAGCAAAGACACAACTCTGTGAACTGCGACGACGGGGCCACCCGTGCCCCTACATGTACATCTTAACTGTAGGGATTTATCCAGGGTTCCATAGAAGCAGGCAAATGGGGAAACAACTGTTCAAAACTGTTAATTTTTCATGTTTGAATTTTCATATTTTAACACTGCAGTCGATACTATGATGTAAAATTAGGCCCCTTCCACTTTTTCGGTTCTTATCAGTGAAATACAAGTTACCAAGCTGTTACATTAGTTATAACTATATAAACATGAAATAGGAACTTTTTTATTCTCATTTTGAAAGTTTTACTAATAACTCCTGCAGACTGGGGCCAAATATCAGCCTCGGCAGGACAAGCAAAATCTCTGAACTGAGGACGGGAAGGACAAGAGACTGCACCATGCAATATGTTGAATCAAACCTTGATGTTCCTGAAAGTTTCCTTGATGACAGTCTGTGTCATGTTGGGTATCTGCAGGACGTCGATGAAGCTGGAGTAGAGTGTGTGGAAGTTGGGTTCAATGCTGGCTCTTTTCATGACCAGGTACTGGGAACACCATGGCATATACTCCTCTCCCACTTGCTCTTTCAGCTCCTCGCCCTGCAACAACCGGAATGGGGGTTAAAATGAGTGAATGGGGGTCACATCGAGTGAATGTGGATCACAATGTGGGAATGTGGATCACAATGAGTGAATGTGGATCACAATGAGTGAACGTGGATCACAATGAGTGAGTGTGGGTCACAATGTGGGAATGTGGATCACAATGTGGGAATGTGGGTCACAATGAGTGAATGTGGATCACAATGAGTGAATGTGGATCACAATGAGTGAACGTGGATCACAATGTGGGAATGTGGGTCACAATGAGTGAACGTGGATCACAATGAGTGAACGTGGATCACAATGTGGGAATGTGGGTCACAATGAGTGAATATGGATCACAATGTGGGAATGTGGGTCGCAATGAGTGAATGTGGATCACAATAAGTGAATGTGGGTCACAATGAGTGAATGTGGATCACAATGTGGGAATGTGGGTCACAATGAGTGAATGTGGGTCACAATGAGTGAACGTGGATCACAATGAGGGAATGTGGATCACAATGATGGAATGTGGATCACAATGAGTGAACGTGGATCACAATGAGTGAATGTGGGTCATGAAATGCCTTTTATACAAAAGTAAATGCTGGTTATAAATTTGAGGCACTTCTAATGAACTCACAATGTGTAAATATTCAAAAGATGTCATAAAAATCCTTTAAGCCAGATTGTCATAAGACATAAGCTAAAGGTAAACAACAAATCATAAACTCTGGTTGGATTATAATGTACTTAAAAAGTCAATGATAGCATCATATAACATTTACAGTAAGCATTAAAGAGATTGGCAGCAATTAAACCCATCTTATCAGAAACCTGGTAAATCTCATTTGAAAATCCAACCATCATAAAATCAGGCTGATTTTTTGTTGTTTAACGCCGCACTCAGCAATATTCCAGCAATATTCAAGCTATATGACAGCGGTCTGTTAATAATCAAGTCTGGACCAGACAATCCAGTGATTGATATCATGAGCATCGATCCACGCAATTGAGATAAGATGACATGCATGAGCCAAGTCAGCAAGCGTTAGTCGCTTATTACGACAAGCATAGTTGGCCTTTTACACCAAGCATGGGTTGCTGAAGACCTATTCTACCCGGAATCTTCATGAGCCTCATTATATCAGAGATCCAGACAAACATATTTCAACATACCAAACATCATACAACAGTATTTCAGAACCTCCAATGATAAACAAGGGAAACATGACGACCTGAAACTAAAATCTTGACACAGCCTGAGCACAAGCAGCTTGTCTCACCTTTGGTTGCATATTTGCCAGGGACAGATTGTTAAAGATGAAGAAGACCTTGTCTTGAAGTGACTCGGGCGGCACAGCTATCTCCTCCTTCCCCTGTCCCGCCAGCAGGGTATCAATGTTGGTGGCAGTAGCGATGGAGGGCTGCACAAACAGTAGACACAGACATTGGAGGAATGTTAAAACATCACAGATGGTATATGCACACACAAAGCCACTTGATTGTTTGTTGTTCATGTTGCACTGAGCAATATTCCAGCTATATATATTGGCAGTCTAAATAATCAAGCTTGGGCCAGACAATCCAGTGATTGACATCATGGGCATCGATCTACGCAATTGGGATATGATGACATGCATCAACCAAGTTTGATTGTTTGTTTCTTAGTTGTTCAATGCCGCACTCAGTAATATTCCAGCTATGTGACAGTGGTCTGTAAATAATCGAGTCTGGATTAGTCAACCCAGTGATTGATATCTTGGGCATCAATTGGGATACAATGACATGTATCAACTAAGTTTGACCACCCGATCCTGTTTTTTCACTTCTTACACCAGGCATGGGTTAATGAAAAACAATTCTAACTCAGATCTTCACGGGTGCACGAGTGCTTCAATATCAACTCTTTCAGTGAAAGGTATTCAAAATTGATCAATTTCAGTTGTGCAACTTAGAGACATGACACATTTCACTCCACCGACAAGTACACTTTTTGATATGATTATCCAACTACCTGTGGAACATTCCGGAGTATCATATATATATACTTACAAACAGTCACCCAAAATTATTTATGGCAAGTGACAACGTTGTTGAAGGTGATCACATACAGCTTCACAGCAGCCTTACCTTGGAAAACGCAGGTCCTGGTGTCGGTCTGGTACTGGTGGTGTTGACCGTAGTTGTTCCAGACCCCGCCCCCGCGCTTGTCACCACAGCGGTAGCAGCCCCTCCCCCAGACACAGCTCCTTCTGTGGTCCTGGCAACAGGGTTATTGGCTGGCTGTACTGGGACAGGCGTTCCTCCCATTGTTGGGGTGAGGGTGCCTGAAGTTTGTGCCATTGGAGGAGGTTCCAGGGACCGGGCACCAAAGTCAACAAACTGGGGGATAGAGAAGTCAGGTTAACAGGCAGCTAGCCACAGAAAACAGTTTGCCTACACAGAGGATAAGCCTGGACTAACAGAAAGTAAGCCTGACATGGTATTTAAACAGAACCTTATCTGTCTGCTTACCCTAGTTTTAATATCTAGATTTAAAAAAGTAGTTAAGAAACACTAAAGGAGTGCCTCAGTTTCAATGAACACAAACTAAAGACTAGTGTGAACATAGTCTCCTCTTATGATTGAAAATGGAAGTCCTATTTTTAGAACTATTCCCAGAACATCCTAACAGGATACACCAAGGTTAGGCCTCACATATAGTATCAACAGTATGGTAGTTAAACTGAAGATCTACCAATGCGGAATAGTGAATGAAGAGTCAGTTTGATTTTACGCCACTTTTAGCAATTTTCCAGCAATATCATGGCGGGGGACACCAGAAATGGGCTTCACACACTGTACCCATGTGGGGATATCAAACAAGCGCTTTAACCACTAGGCTACCCCACCACCCCATCAGTGAGGAGTAAGGATTGTAGCAAGGGAACATTAACACATGTAAATGGTGATATGCCAGATACGTGTGTGTGACTGCTATGATATGATGTCAATGGGAAACCCCCGATGCGAGGTTACCTCCAGGAGATGTTGTCAATGAGAATACCCCAGATGGGCATGTGACGAGGGAGAAATGTTTACCTCAATGAGATGCTGGGGAAACTGCTGGAAGTGCTGTATTGCTGCCAGGTGCTGACAGTACTGGGGGTAGTCCTTTAGTCTGAAAAATGGACACAACAACTCAAACAACAGTGTCAATTTCAAAAAACCTTCCACATTTTATGGTCAAAAGTATGGAAATGCCAGAAGATATTCCCTGATATCAAGAAAACACATACAGGTTCAATATAGGAAAATATTTCCACGCGTTTGAACTTCTCCCTCCTTCATTCGTTGGATGATCACAGAAGTGACAGAAACCTAATATCCCCAAAGGGAGCCGCAGTGTACATTTGATTTTTGAGTAATGAAGTTAAAAATGACTGATGGTATATCATATCAAAATTAACTATCTAACCTGTTAGTCCAAATACTGCTTTTGTAATTCACATTCATTTTATTTCTTTATCATATTCTAAGTTGTCAATGGATGCAAGTGCTGATGACACAGCAATAACCACTCTCACTCATTATTACATTCTAAAATCATGAATCTAGCAGCAAGTACCTTGTTTTGAATCGGTCTAGAGCAGCAATTCCAAAATAATACATCTTGCTCCCATATGGTTTTCTCAGTGCCTCCAGAATATACCTCAGTGCAATACCAAGGGTCCAGTATCTGAAACAACAAGGGTTCTGACTAAACATTGTTGCATGAACAGCTGACATGGTACAATTACACAATTACCTGCTCTAATAAACTTCTCAAAAGAAGTTAAGAACCACCCATTTTTTTCATGTTGAAAGAGTCAGGTCCTTAAGTTCTTTTGGGTAGTATAATATCACTGGATATAAATATCAAACCTCTGTGGCCAGCAGACTGATGAAACAGCAGAACCCAGACACTTGTAACTAGATTTACAGATGGTGGAGGAATATCATGTCTATTTATAGGCAACCACTGAGCTGGCACTATAAATAGACATGCAGCCACTTAGAGGTCAATCAATGCTGATGAAACATTGTGAGATGGTTGAAACAACACAGGGTTTCTCATCCTTCCAATACTTTCACTTATATTGCAGAAACAACAACAGGGAACTACAACATTTAACATCTGATAATGCCAATCAAAACAACTCAATGTACATAACTACAGATATCAGCTGTTAAAATCACCTTGATTTGTACCACAATGACTACTGGTTTCAGAGCAATTGTTAGGAAGTGGCTACTCACGTGACAATACCCTGTTCAATAATGCCCCCAAAGAGTACTGCTGTGGTGTGAAGCTCCCTCTCTGGGTACTGGGGGAAGAAGCGGTACTCCTCAAACAGGTTCCGCAACATGCACGCAAACACATCCTGCAAGAGAGAAGATAGAATGTCAGACACAAGGTGAGGTGTACAGATATGTCTTCTTTGCTCTAAAAACTGTGAAAGAAATTCACTTGGAAAGTTAGCAGCTTATGACACTCATACTAAAACCTTACTACCTAAAAAAGCTCAAGGAACACCTTCTTTCACATTACTAAAGTCAATTTGTCATGCCATGACAGACTAACTTTAGTAGCATGAAATAACCGGATGGACCCAAACCTTTTTTGTAGTTTATCAACTGTTTTACATTCTGTGAACCAAAGCTTGAAAAATAGTTACTTTAACACATGTTGCAATCTTTAATGCCTTGTATATGTTGTATTTATTTAATGATTAGACGTAGAGGAAGTTCCAAAGTAAAAGTAAAAGTATCCTAATACAAACTTAACAAATGTTATATTTGGGAAAACACTTTCTAAGTGAAGTACAGATTCTATTACTTTCTTGGGTTCAGTCCAGTCCGTGATTCGAACCCACACTGCCTGAGTGAGGCACCTATCGCCAGCTCACAAAGTCAGTGATCTAACCCACTCAGCCACTGAGGCTTCCACAACATCAAGTCCGACATCTGGTAGTCTAGATAATGTACTTTGTGTACCCCTCTGACAAGTGTAAATTGGCATGGTACCCATAGGTGAAAGCTATGAACACACAATGCCATTTAGAAAGTGGTCAAATGTAACAAATGTTATAACACTTTCTAAGTAAAGTACAGATTCTAGTACTTTTGGGGGTTGAGTGCCACACAAGATTTGAACCCACACTGCCTTGATTGGTATTGTGTGATCATATCCAAATACAAACTTCTGTTTCAGGTTTGTCTTTCACCCACCATTATGTTAACAAACAGAGGAGATCCATGGTTCACAGGCCTTGACCATTATATCACTGAGTGATGCCTTTATAGTATGTTTCCTAGGTGTCATAATCAATATTTGCCATCTTAAAGCAGAAACAAACTACTGCCATACATATGTGAAAACCAAGAATATTTGTCACAACCAAACTCTTATAACATGGAATAACATGGAATAACACACTATGTTCTGCATTACCCTACCCTTTCAATCTTGTTCTGTGAGTCCTTGAATCTCTTCAGCATCTCCAGCACTTCATCTATGGACATTGTGGGGTGCGGAGGCTGGTTGTAGATCTGCTGGAAGTATGAGTTGGCCTTGTCCTCCACTTCCTTGCTGAACTGCTGGGTCATCTCAGGGAAGATGGTGGACATGTCCCCTGGGGGGCCCGCTGGAGAGGAGGAAGAGGGATACATACAACTAGGGGTGAAAAAATTCATCACCATCGTGAGTTTTTCATGCAACGATACGATAGATACATTGCTGTCATAAGGAACTGTGTGCGTCATGGAACTTAACAAGACAATGGGGTTGTCAGAAGGTACAATGTTAGTTATGGAGTGAGTGAGTGAGTTGGGTTTAACACCACTTTTAACAGTATTCCAGTTGTGTCGCAGCGTGTCAGTCTAATGTGGGAGGAAAGCCCGAAGTGATGCAGGTCTCAGAAATTTACCACTTCGGTGAAACCCACGAGCACAGGTATGGTGCTGACAAACCTAGAAACATAATCGGGGCGAACCAGGATTTGAACCAACAATCATAGGTTTCTGGCATGCCCAAAGGAAGCAAATCTGCACAGAAAATCATGGTGCCTTAAGACGACTGAGAGTTATGGAACTTAGTGAGACAATGGGGTTGTCAGAAGGTACAGTGAGAGTTATAATACTCAGTGAGACAGTGGGATTGTGGAAAGATACTGAGGACATTATGGAACTCCGCAAGATATAATGATCCTGGGAACAATCAAAGAATGTAACTTGGCAAGACATATGGTAATGCCTTACTTCCAGTGGGCCTTGTGCTGATCCTGTCGGCGGAGGATGCCCCTTGTTTCACAGCCACCTGGGCACTCAGATTGGCAAGGGAGTTCACTGGGTTCCTCGGGGGACCCATGGCTGTCGATATTGGGGTCTGGAAACCTAGATCTGAAAAGGGATGAAAAGAATACTTTGCACATCTCAAAACCACACCTCAAGTCACTGCCATACCGTCTGTGAAGGTCGATGCAAGCCTCTGGAAATTATCTTAAGTTAAATATAACACGTTGTGTTTTCTTATTCTAGGAGCAAATGGACACTGTCCTAGATTCAACACATAAACTAACAGGATGTACTCAGCCAAAGCAATCAACAAGTAGATATAAAGATAACCGAACAGTCCTTATCAGAAAAACAATTTATGTTGCATTGAGACTACTTCACACCTGAAACAACCTTGTGTATACCTCAAGTAAATACAATCATAATGAAGGTTTAAGAGGACGCGTCAATCAAGCAATATTCCGATGTCATCTTTCTTGTGACTGACATGAAGAGTGAGTGAGTGAGTGAGTGAGTGAGTTGTGTTTAACGCTGCTTTTAACAGTATTCCAGTTATATGATGGCGTGTCAGCTTAATGTGGGAGGAAAGCCCAAAGTGATGCAGGTCTCAGACGTTTATCACTTCGGTGAAACCCATGAGCACGGGTATGGTTCTGACAAACCTAGAAACATAATCGGGGCGAACCGGGATTCAAACCCACAATCATAGGTTTCTGGCGTGTCCACAGGACGCAACTCTGCACAGCGAATCGCAGCGCCTGAGACGACTGGGCACCCCGTGCCCCCCTGACATGAAGAGGTATTCTGTTCAAGAAATTTCACAGTGTCAAATGGAGTACTATAATGCCTGAAAAATATCTTTAAATATTTTCAAAATTGATTCCGACTTACTTTGAAACTGGGACGACAATGACTGAATGGGGTTGAATGCTGTGTTATTCTGTTGTGAGATTCCAGAGAAGCCTTTGGAAGGAGAGCCTGGTGCAACAGATCCAGCCAGTGACTGAGGAAAGCCTGAAGATCCACCTGCAGGAAATGGTGTGGACCCCGACGGAAACGGCGTCGATCCCGACGGAAATGGAGTTGACCCACTTGATGGAAATGGTGTTGACCCACTTGATGGAAATGGCGTTGATCCACTGGAGGGGAAAGGTGTTGACCCACTTGATGGAAATGGCGTTGATCCACTGGAGGGGAAAGGTGTTGATCCACTAGAGGGGAAAGGTGTTGATCCACTAGAGGGGAAAGGTGTTGATCCACTAGAGGGGAAAGGTGTTGATCCACTAGAGGGGAAAGGTGTTGACCCACTAGAGGGGAAAGGTGTGGATCCGCTAGAGGGGAAAGGTGTGGACCCACTTGATGGAAATGGTGTTGATCCACTTGATGGGAAAACAGATGATCCAACACTTGTGGGAAAGGCTGATGACCCAACACTACTTGGGAAGGCAGACGATCCAACACTGGTAGGGAAAGCTGAGGAGCCACCACTTGTTGGGAAGGCTGAAGAGCCAACGCTTGTCGGGAAGGCAGATGACCCAACACTTGTAGGGAAGGCAGATGACCCAACACTTGTGGGGAAAGCTGAGGAACCAACGCTTGTGGGGAAAGCCGAGGAGCCAACACTCGTAGGGAAAGCAGATGAACCAACACTAGTAGGAAAGACAGATGAGCCAACACTTGTGGGAAAGCCAGCTGATAGTCCTGTAGATGGGAATGCTGTGGATCCGCTGGATGGAAAAGCTGACGATGCACCAGTAGTTGGGAAGGCTGATGTGATCCCACTTGTAGGGAAGGCCGAGGAGGCCCCAGAGCCTACTGCTGACTGTGTGGGTGGTGCCAGAACATTGCCAATGTTAGCAAGGGGATCCATCTGTCAGAAAAAATATGATTATTAGTTACCATCTCACACATCATCCAAATGAAAAATCTATATATTTACCACGCTTTTAAGTTAAGGAATTCATTTTTGCAGAAGTAATATTCTTTATCTATGAATGCCTTGCTGTTGTGTATTTAGGTGTACACAGTTGTATTTTTATACATGTCTGGTGAACCGAATTGTACTATGGGCCGCTGGCCCACTCATGTACTGAATAAACAGATTAGAAACAGATTAGAAAAATCTATGAAATCTAAAATTATTAATATACATCAAAACAGTGTCTGTTTATGGAGCTCAACAAAAACAATATCAGAAGAAAGGTCAGGAGAATCCTGTAACAATTATTGAGGTAAATGTGACAGTTTCCAACTCACAGGATTAACCATGCCTGAAGGAGGGAAGTTTGTTGGCGGCTGTTGCTGTGGCTGCTTCGGCCCAACTACACCGGGTGGGGCTTGTCTGTTGCGGTTGAGAATCAAACTAGCATTGGTGAACATCGTTGCGATGGATTCCGATAACTCTTGGGACACTTGGCTGAAAAGCAACAACCATTCAGTCATTAATGGAAAAACAAAAGTTGAAAGGATATTTACTTCAACATAGAAGGTGCTCCGTTTCAAATAATCTAACTGCAATTTTTTTCAGTGAGTGAGTGAGTATGGTTTTATGCCACTTGCAGCAGTATTCCAGCAACCAAATGGCAGGAACACCAGAAATGGGCTTCAAATTTGAGTCAAACCGGGTGTACGACCAATTGCTTTAATCGAAAGGCTACCCCACCGCCCTATTAATCATAGAGAATATGATGGAGATTAATGTTTGACACACAGAACTGCTACATACTTCGCCCAAGTCTTGAGGCAAGTAAGCATAGTTGCAATAGTGTCTGGCGGCAACTGTTGGCTCTTCATCTGTGGCAGTTCTTCCTTCACCGGAGCTCCAACCAGCTGAGGACATCGTCTCTTGAGGAACGTGACGCAGGCTTGGATGAAAGGTTCCTGGAATGAAACCATCTTCAAATAGTGTCATTTATGTCATTCAGTATCAGGTAGAAACATGTCACACACATCAAAGAATCAAAATGGCCAACCTTGTGTTCTCCGATCTTGTCTGTCAACCACTTGTCCAGTTTGAGATACTCTCGTCTGGAGGCGAGGCATGCAAGGTCAATCACAAATGCAAAAGGTGTAGCATTGAGAAGCATGGAGAGAGCCTGTAATCAGATATACATACAACAATAAGGCAGTGTTGTTTCCATTGTAACACAGAACTCAGTTGATGTGTGGAGGTGATTTGAATAACCTGATCAAATATCCTCAAACAACCACAGGTGTAACAAAAAACGGGCAGAAAGACACTAAGATCTTCCAATCAGAGTGAGTGAGTGAGTGAGTGAGTGAGGTTTTACACCGCTTTTAGCAATATTCCAGCAATATCTCGGCGGGGGACACCAGAAATGGGCTTCACACATTGTACCCATGTCGGGAATCGAACCCAGGTCTTTGGCGTGATGAGCGAACGCTTTAACCACTAGGCTACCCGACCGCCCCTCTTCCAATCAGAAGGTAATGGTCACCACCAGGATTGGAGCCCTCAAAGTCTCTACCTCTGGCTAATGATTGTAGTCTCCAGCCAAGATGACACCAGTATGGAACTAATTGTCAAATATCTACTATCAAGAATGAGCTTAAGAGTGGTGATATTTCGTTTTATTCAGTATGTGATTTTAACATACATCAATAAGAATGGATAGTTTTTCATTTAAAAAAAAAGGAAAGAAAAAAACTATGCTGTTATAAATTAGGTCTATGTTTGCCCATAACAGGCCCATCAACAATAATTAGGTTTGATACGAAGGACTTATTCTGGCCCAGAATGCACAAGAGAGATTTTAGAGCAAACAGCCATCAGTATGCAACAAAGACCTATACATTGGAAATATATTGCATACCTTTAGATCTTGAGCAACATCCAAAATACGTGACAATCGAGTCTGATCATGAGGCTCTCCCCTCATGTACCATTCTGCCATGGAGTGCATTATCAACGTCCTGATTGTACTGGAGTGTCCCTGGAAACAAAACACCACATTCAACATTCAAAACGACATTCACATTCAACATTCAAAACGACAGTCACATTCAACCAAATGCAAAGTACAAACTCAATCATCTGAGGGGGATACAAAAATGATTGACATATCAGTGTTTGAAATTACCAGGCTCCTGGGGTCCTTCAAACTTCCTCTTTTTCTATCTTAGTCTAGGAACACCCTCAATTCTATATTTCAAACATTGAGCTATGATGAGGACACCTTGACTTTTATGCTAATTTTCAATGTATATCATACACACAGTCAGAGAAAATGACCTTTCAGACTCAAATCAATATATCCACAAAAAGGTTTACAAACAGCAAAATGGAAATAATACAGCAAATTTGTCGGTGCTTCCTGTGACCATGAAAATGAGGGCAAGGTTAACATCAAACAGTCCATAGGCACCTTACATTCGCACAAAGCATGGAACAAAATTATTTGTGGAAAGGGAATTTGCATACTGATATTGAAATATCCTAAAATTCAGAATAACAGATTGTGCCAAAAGGGTTTAGGTCTACAGGCCCCAAATGACTGGACATTATTTTCAGGAGATTTTAGAGTTATTATATGGAAAACAATTAGCGGAGAGACTGAACAGAGCTAGACAACAATCGGCTTCAGACTAGTGGCTCAGGTCACAGACTGGCATATTCTTATCATGCAAACCTTGATGTACAATTTGTTTATGACATCTAAAGGAACAGAGGTGTTAACTTGTCATGACGACTGTACCTGATGATGCCAAGCATAATGGAGGACCACAGCTGAATTTGCATGGCTGCCCAAGAATATTGGCATAAGTGTTGCAATCAGTTCTTGTTTGATAGTGTTCCATGTGGGCTGAAAGAGAAAAGATTCATGGACAAAAATTTCATTTTGGGCTATAAGTTACTTTTAAAAAATGTCACTGTCAGATCAATAGTAATACAGTGGTCCCTCGCTACAACGCTACCTATGGGATCCAAATAATTGGTGGGCGTTATAGACGATGAGCCGTTTAACCGAGGCCGAGGCGGGGGAGCGCGCTCAGCCAATCTCACGATCTTCGCCTTGTCTCACACATTGCAATGATACAAGTTGTTTACCGTTCATAGTGTAAAAATATAAATCCATTATGTTTTCGCCGTTTGTTATTATTTACAAGCCTTAACTGTCACATTCTATGTGAATGTAGTCTACTTACATGAAAATATCGATCGATAATGGTAGTAACAGACGCTATGAGTGAAGAGCCAATCACAATTCATAACACAAGTACAGAGTGTTTCAGTGGCATTGATTGGTCATGTTGCTTAAAATACGGAAAACGAGAGTTTTGACCAGAGCTACGCGTATTCATACACATTCATACAAATATAGATACACATTCAAGCCAGATTAATTGGTTTGATACGGTTACTTGATCCGAATCAAAAGGAATGACCGCCATGTTGTGACAGCAACATGTGAGTTGACAGTGTCACCTCAAATTGGATTGCCCACTAATTAAGAATATAAACTTCGCTTGTGGTTCTCTTTTATTGCATGCATGCACTTCTAAGATCAAAGGATGTCTAGTGTGAAAAGTTAACTAGTAGAACAATCGTATTTCCGGGACTTGCCGTGGATGTTTTCAAACAGATTATTAGACCTCCATTCAGCGATGAACGGTTGATTATGCAATGAGAAGCGTTATGTGCAAATGAACAACGAACAACTATACAATCATGTCCGTGTAAAACTCTCAGTATTAAAAGTGTACATAAATTTTGGGAGCCACGCGTTACCACGCGTAGTAACCGAGGTAGCGCTTTATTGAAGAGCACAATAGCGAGGGACTCCTTGTTCGTCCAAATGTCCTGCTGGTTTATTTACTGAATACAAATATGTCAAAAATGTGGTCTGTAAATGACGTAATCTGGACCAGACAATCAAGTAATTGACATCATCTGCGATAGTGAGATAGGATGACATGCATCAACAAAGTCAGCGAGTGGGACCATCCGATCCCGTTATTCGCCTCTTACAACACGCATGGCTAGCTGACAACCAATTCTAACCTGAATGGTCAGCGGTCATCAAACAGTGAAGACAGGGAATACATACTGTTGTTTGCAGAAGGGCAAGGACTAGCATATCAGGACACTTCTGGGAAGGGTACTTGAACAGATCCCACACTGCCTGGTAGTGTCCCGCCTCTGCCAGACGCAGTAATGACTCAACCAGGTTCAAGGATTTCCTGTAATAAAACATTGTCACTGAAAACTTGTGTCACCTTGTCCATTTAGCCCAAACCACCCAAATGAGGTAAAACTATTGAGGCAATATTGAGTAAGTATGGCTTTATGCTGATGTTTTAGCAATATTCAGGGATGTGAGCAGGTTTTCTCGAAAAAAGAGGAAAATTGTAGGGGGGTTGGGGGCATGCCCCCCCAGAAATTTTTAAAACATTTGATTGCAATTTCGTGCAGTTTGGACAACAAATAAACAAGATGGCAGATGCAGTAAAATTTCCAAGTTAAATCAGTACTTTTAGAAAATCGGGCATGGCTTTCGCGCGCCTGGCTACCCGCCAGGTCTGGGAACAATACTGCCATAAACTTCAACCCCCATCCCCCAGACACTAGGACAACTGTCACAAGCGTGCGATGTCTGACCCTTTCCCCATGTTGAAGCATATTGAAAAAAACTTACCTTGTACTTACCTTTTGATGAAAAAAACAAAACTCCATTGCAAACACAAGACATTAATACAACATATATCCCCATGACATGGGGTTTTGGACGCTGAAGAAACATTCATAAATTTCTCGCTTATCACATGAACAACTGTAAAACATCTCATTCACTTAAAGGCTAAAAGACAACTTTATCTTAAAAACAAGCCATCAGCTGACTCTGAGTAATTACAATTTCTGTGTGACGCCACACCCCACGTTATAGTGCAAGTATTTGTGACAGAAAACGTATGATGTCCGAAAAACCTATGCTGGTGAAAGCTCTGATCGAAAACAGGACAATCCGCTCCAATTGTCCGGTTTTCGATCATATTTTTCGGAGTGTTTTTTTTTTTAATTTTAAAAAAAAAAAATTTACGCGGAAGATGATTTTTTCCGAGGATTACTGTTTTAAAAAACGTGATTTTCCGCGTTTCCGTGGAGATTTCACATCCCTGAATATTACAGCAACATGGCGGAGGGACAGCGGAAATGGACTTCACTTATTGTACCCTATAATGGGAAATCAACCAGGACCTTTGACATGGCTACTCTTGTGGGAAATCGAACCTGGACCTTTGACATGGGTAACCTTGAGGGAAAACCAACCAGGACCATTTACATGGCTACACTAGTGGAAAAACCAACCCAGGATTTTTGACATAGCTACCCTTGAAGGAAATAAAACAGGACCTTTGACATGGTCACACTAGTGGGAAATCGAACCTGGACCTTTGACATGGTGGGCGATTGCTTCAACAGACTACTCCACCACCCATGGGAAACAAGTTTCTAAAATACAACTACAAGAAATTAAGGAATCATGTGTATTACATGGCATCTGCTCTATCCAGTCATCACACCACATGGTTTCTGAACTCTATAACAAACAACACATACCAAGTAGCAACCTCTCTGTCTTCATCATTGGGTGTAGATTTGAGGATGTCAATGACCACTGTATCACCTGGGTAGTCAGCAAAACTAAAGACATCCGGGTTTCGCAATGACTGTATGATATATGATAGCTGAAACAAAGAATCATTTCATGAATTCTCTAATGCAAAAGCTGCAAGTTTTCAGCTGCATGATGTCAAAGGGGTGTAAAATAAAATTGAAAAAACACAAACATGGACTAAATCATTCCTTCCTTGTTGTTTACACTTTTGAAACTAGGAGTGAAACAATGTGAATACCAAGGGCGGATGTGCACGTTAGTGTCACACTGAGGTGAGGTGAAATGGGGTTTAACGTCGCTTGAGATTACACTCACTCCGAACTCAATTCCCACGTTTGTGGCTTGGTATGTGGATCAGTCTGTTATAGTTCCATGGTAACCTTATTACACCAAACTTGGAACTATGGGGGAACGTTAGGCCCTTGTCCACACATCCAAAGCAATGGTTCCCATGTCAGACATATCCTTTAGTTGAAAATGGCTACTTTTAGGTACTGTCCGTTTTGGAAATGGACACAACCACAAGTACATTTGAATGTGTGTGTTTATGCCACACTCAGCAATATTCCAGTTATAAGAAAATGGTCTGTAAACATGGACCAAAAAATCAAATGATTAACATCGTGAGCATCAATTTACGCAATTGGGATACAATGACATGCATCAACCAAGTCAGCAGGCCCGAACATCACATCCTCTTAGTTGCCTCTTATGACAAGCACGGGTTGCTGAGGCCAATTGTCGCACTGATCAAGGTGCATATATATATGCAGTACCTGTCCCTCTGTATTACTCCATGGCTTGAAGATGTATTCCACTGGGAAGATGTCTTGTAGGCCTCGGAACAAGCCTTCCATCAGCAGCTTCAGGCCTTTCTTGTTGTTCACATAGAAACCTTTGTGATCCAGCTGACTAACCACCTCCTTCCAGTTCAGGAGTGGTGCCTACAGAAAATAGGACATTTTTATGTCATGTGAGCAACAGAATGTTGAACACCAGTCATCAATATTTGTTGATAATTGTTTGTTGCTTATTAAACACATCTCTCTGCAATATTCAAACTATATGACTGCAGCCCGTATATAAAATGTTCTAGAAAAGACAATCGAAATTATTTTGTGAAATACAAGTCACTTCCACAAAGCCATAACATTAGTTATTAATATATAACATGAATTGGGAAATTTGTAATTCCAATTTGGGATTTACTACTAACATCTGCAGCAGATGTGGGGTCAAATTTCAGCGTGAGCAGGTCCAGGCAAATCTGTGCCAAGGCAAGCAGGATAGTGTCAAGTTTTAACTCTAGTGAGCCTGACCACCCAATCCATTTAGTCAAATAATATAATACATTCCTGTTTATGAATATGTGTTTACGGAACAGCAGCAGTTATTTTGCTGAAATTCTATGCAACCTCCTATAAGGTGTACTTACAAGATCCTTCACAACCTGCACAAAGATTTCTACATTCCATGTTGTTACTCCTGGTGTGTCTATTCTGTCTTTGTCTGACCATCCACTGCCAACAGCCACTGAGGTCTGAAAAACACAAATGGAAAATCCAATATTGTTAATTCATTGCATAGCTTTCACAAACATATCAACTAATATTTCTCTTTCATGATGTATATATATTATTTGCTCTCACTGGACATGATTAAAGCAACAGCTATTAAAAAATCAAAACATAGCAAGCGATATATACACATTGCCCACTGTATATGATTTTTTCCAGTTACACAATGGTACAAGTCCTACCGGTGCTGGCTGTGACTCTCCAAGGCCTGTGGGTGTGTGGGCCATCATCCCCAGGACACGGGCAACCGAGGTAGGCGTCAACTCTCGGAAACCAAACTGCATCAGATGGTTCCGGCATTCTTCAACACTGGAAGTATAACAATGTCCAGGTGTCAGTCCAAGCATTAACCAATACATAAACTATATCGACTACTCTCCAGCCTCTGATCTTCACTGTGAAACGAAAACTGGTACTTACGTGGAGGTACAGCTGTATCCAGCTTCTAGTATCATGTCTGCCAGAGAGGCATCCATCTGGAATGATAGACATTCAAGTGAAAAGAAAGATCCAGGTCAGTTACAAAGCCATCAACTTTACCTTAAACAAGTAACATCAATTCTTAGCTGACTGCATCAAAATCAATGATCAGGCTTTGACCACATTGGTAAACCACCCAAAACCTTACAACTAAGTTGTCTCCATACTACGGATCAGTGTAGCAAGTTTGAGTGTGTATGGTTTTATGCCGCTTTTAGCAATATTCCAGCAATATCACGGCGGGGAACACAGAAATGGTCTTCACACATTGTACCCATGTTGGCAATCAGGTCCGGGTCCTCATGTGATGAGTGAACTCTTCAACTACTAGACAAGCCGAACACCCCCTACAGTTCGATGGAGGAACTTTTGTCATCATTCACTAACATTCCAAGTAACATTTCAGCTATAAATAGTGATGAATCTGCATGGATGAATTTTGATACAAACCATTGACTTGGGCATGCTGTGTGTATCTGCAAGTTTCTCTATGGGTATGTCTTCTGTGCTGGGGAACAGTAAGGGAGCAAGAACTGCCGGTGCTCGTTCGCGGGGAAAATCTGCAACCATGACACGTCTCAGGATGTGTACACATACAAACAACTGGACATCTTTCAGGTGAGTTAAATCAGAATCTTGGTCCCGTCTTCAATATATCTATTTATGGAGGTATATACATAACCGAGGTGCACACTGCAAGTCTGCAATGCAGATTTACACAAAGTGTGCAAACTGTTTCTATATTTATAACACCATAAACCGAAAACATGTTAAAGTCAATTCTCAAATCTAAATCTAAAAAAATCACAGACTGCGTATTTACTCGTAATACAAAAAATGTAGACTACATGAAATCAGGGACACATAAATTCACAGACAGCTTATAGAAGCATAAAAAACTATTGCTTTGTTAAACAATGAAATGCCACAGAATCAGTTGGTGTCAGGATGAGTCTGTATGCATGAGTGAGGGAGGAGAGATTTCCAATAGCCTCTAACAGTATAGTCACAGCATGTTGACTGAGCAAGAGAAGCCAAAGTTCATATTCAGGGCATCTGGTATGGAAACCCTTGACCAGCAGAACCTGTGATAGCTGAGGGATGCAAGTCTGCACAGCAAGCCTCAGACCATCCTTAATCAACATACTACTTCCCCTGAGCACTTGGCCATCTGTAACACTCACAGAGTGAGTATGGTTTTATGCCGCTTTTAGCAATATTTCACCAATATCACGACAGGGGACACCAGAAATGGGCTTCACACATTGTACCAAAGTGGGGATAAGAACCTGGGCCTTAACGAGCGAAAGCTTTAACAGACAGGCTACCCCATCACCTCTGCACCACTCCATAAAAGTGTCTGTCTTAACGCTGCTTTCAAAAGTATTTCAGTTATACCAAGATGTCAGCTAAATGTGGGAGGACAGCCCAAAGGTGAAACCCATGAGCAATGATATGCCAAACATCATAACAATACCGAGGGTAAATCTTGGACTCCATCTTACAATCATCGGATTCTCGCATGACTAACATATAAAATCAGCAGAGTTTCAGACTGAATCACAGACTACAGGGCCATCATCCTTATTCCACAGGGGAAGAGATTTTATCTGAGACTCAGCACTGATTACCTCTTCTGAGTGTTTTCAGGAACGCCTCCTTCTGTTCGTTGCCAATACCAAAGTGATCTTTTCCCCGCTCTAAGTGTGTCAGTAGCAGGTGGAGTACTTCAATGCAGACGTCCTGAAGCCCACCCTCCTGTCGACTAGTGACGTCTTAAACACAAAAACATTACATGAAGTCTCAGTAAGCAGAAGGAAATCTTGAGTGAGACCAATCAGCTGCCTATAATGACAAAATGGTAATACCAGTTAAGTATTACCAAAATGAACACTGCATGAGTGCAACATAGAACAGGTTTACCATCGATAGACAACTCTGGTTGCATCACGAATGAGAAAGCTTATTTGCTTGAGAGCATCATCAACAATGCCATGGTGTCCCACAAGGATAATACATGTACTGACTGAAAAATTTAAGTTGTGACAACAGTTCACATTTACCATTAGCAATAAGCATGATCGATGACCTGCTGTAAATTGGGAGAAAAGTGTTTCTTTGACAATGTAAGTGTAACTATATGTGACTTATGCTTCATATCTGCAATAAAGTGACATATGATATATACCAAAACACCACAGGTCAAGTTATGCAGTTAGCATAAAGTTATATAGGCAATATCAATCTAGATGTTGTGAAATCTCCATGTAATCACCTGCATCCACGTATGACCGGAGTAAGTCAGGAAGCTTTTGCTTGATGTACTGTGTGGCGTAGGTGCGGGAATCAGGGCTCACAGAGTTTAGAAGAGCCAAGCCAAATACAACCTCCTGTACACGCGAGAGCCTCAACACCTTACTCAGCTGGGGAAACAGCTGCGAAGTGGGTTTTAAACTCTTGAAAAACAAACAGAAACGCATTGTCATTCAAATGAAATATGTGGAGCAGAGAATGATTTTCAGGGGGTACAGTTCTGGTAGTACATATTTTGTGTCTACCCCTAAGCTCTGATCATGAGAATTACTTAAAAAAAGTTTGAAGATTGGGAATGGTTTTGGTTGTTGATATCAACTCGATGTTAATATCAAATCATTTTGTCCAAGATAATTAACAGCAGCTATTTCTGGGTGCTGCCTATATTATCGTCAAATACATCTTCAAGCAAAATATCAGAAGTGTCAGTAAACTTAGTCTTATATAAATAGACAATATGAGATCAACAGTATCTATTATCATGATTATAATCAAAGAAAAATACCAGAAAATAATCTAAAATAATTCCTTACAATGGGAAAAGTATCTACCTTTTGGTGGTGTAGAGGATTGTCGATGGCGTAGCACAATGTTGACACAAAGTTGGATTTACTAAAAAGTGACCCACACTCTTGAATCAGAAACTGAGTCTGGAAAGGAAACTGAAGACTCTTTTACTGACACACAAATAAAGAAAACAATGGAAATCCAACCTTTTTTATATTTACTCAAGTATTTAAAGCCAAGGCATTACACTAGAACGGGCAGACAAATTGCATTTGATCATTCACTTTGTATATACATGTATAAGCATCAGCTGGGATTTATCTAGACTTCTTCATGGCCGATTTTCAGTCCTATGTCTGCAGCAAAATACAGTTAAAATTCTGAAATGGGAATTAAATATTCCCAATTCAAGTGACTCTAGTTCTTATTAATGTTAGGGCTTGGCAGATTTGACCAATTTGTCTCTGAATTTAATTCTTAGTTATTCATTATTGCACTGAATGCAATGTTAAAATAATTCTGAAGTTAAGAAAATAAGGACTATGAAATAATTCCCAACCTTGAACAAAAAAGTATGGGTTTTTCCCCATAATGTGCCTGTCAAGGGCACTTAGGTTTGGAATTCTAGATAAACCAATGTCAGTTCTATAATGTAGCAACACTTCACGATGACCCACCTGGTGAAAGTCCTTGCCGCTACTTTTACCATCACCACTGAAATCAACGTGAGAGAAGAGGCACCGGAACAGATGCCTATCAGCCTCCGCTCCGTGCTGGGCGACAAGCTGCAACACAAACACAGACGTTCCCAGGACCCATATTTTGTTTGTTTGTTGTTTAATGCCCTACTCAGCAATATGACAGCAGTCTGTAAATAATCAAGTCTGGAGCAGACAATCCAGTGATTTATATCATGCGCATCGATCGAACAATTGAGATGCGATGACATGACCTATACATACAATAACTGCATATAGTTATCCTAAACCAATGCAATGTCCGCTATCACACTGTAGAAGGATCACGCGGGGTACATGGGGTCTAATGCATCCCCCGTTAGGTTCTATATAACGACTAGGAAGCAAGTGCATAAAACCCCATGAACCCTGTGATCCTGCTACAATGAATGTATCTTTACACCAACATGTTTTAATATGACATTGATAAAGAACTAAAACAAATTCAAAATTGATAGAAAACAGCTGTTTGATTGAGTGGAGGTTAGCTTGTGCTGTGTCACGTGACTTTCAGTGTGTGGCCTGTTACTTCGAAGCCCCTCAGAAATCTACATGCTGACTGATTTGCTCGTGCCGGGGTATAACAGATTTATTCTACCACTGAGAAATTTATTTCCCTCCAAGTGGGGATACATACAGTATTTTATCCAGATCATGTGGGCCAATCAGATCCTATCATTCTGACATATGATAAAGTTCATTGTTAAGAAAAATTCTCATCACCATCAACCGTTCTATTTTAATGTTCATCTGCACATCAGACCCATAATAATGTCAGGTTTCAGTTAGGACATAGGACTTTGAAATAATACAGAGGTTATTTGTTTTACCAGGGCTTAACCACCTTGCCATCTGAAGAACTGCACATGGAACAAGAGAGTGCAACATTTATAACAAAAGACAATACAGTAAACTACGTTTATAACGAACACGCTTATAACAAACTGACAGATATAATGAACTTATATGTTTGTCCCAGCCATTTGCTGTACATATACACTTATAACAAACTACGGTTATAACAAACTAAAAGCACTGGTCCCTCTGAGGTTGTTATAACCGTTACTAAACTGTAGTTTACTGTTCTTTGTTGATTGAACGGCTGAAGCAAACAATGTCACCTATTACTGCCCATGAAACCCCAACTGATAGCACTTGCGAGCAACAACACATGCAACTGGGCTGTTGTAAAGGCCATCAGAAGGGCAAAAAGAACTTCCTACCCATTAAACTATTGCTGTACATGTCATCATTATTTCCCCCTTGAACATACAAAAGGAATATAATACAGGGATGAGAACAACCTCATTAAAATCAGATCTTAGTTCTTGCTACCGCTAAACAAAAATCTGAGGACATCCCATTACGGGTCACGTCAGACCGACCTTTCGCAAACTCTTACCGACCAATGGAATTACTGACAAGAAGTCGACATTAGCCAATCAGAAGGCAGCTTTCTCTTGCTTTACGGCACTAATTTCAAATTGCCGACTAAGCTTCGAAACATATTTTGACAAATTCTCGCTTAAAAATTTGAAACCTGAACAAAAGAACATTCTCAAATGGCTAATATATGGTCTCGATTGTATAGATTCAGTCATTAAGCCCGTAACCATTGTTCGGAATACCCCATGTTAAAGTTTTCGAGGCTGCATGATTAGAAATCACATTCCGACTGTCTTTCATGATCTGGTAAGCGACGCTCAGATTGGTCGGATGAAAGGTCGTTCTGACATGACCCCTAATGGGATGTCCTCAGATCATTGTTTAGCGGTAGTGAGAACTAAGATCTGATTTTAATTAGATTGGGATGAGAATGGATTTTTTCTTTTCAGCTGAAATGTCTTTTCAATGGAGCATGGTCCATAATTTGGGGGTGTTTATAGGGGGTTCATCAGAATATAACAAATTTGTGTTCACAAAAATTGGCGGAATTTGATGGATATACTACTACTTCTTCACATTCTCAAAACACTGCAACCATTATGGTGTTGTTTAATGTTTCAAAAGTAAACATCGTGAGATATAAGACTCGAGCTAAAGACTTGTCCAATGAAGTTGGAAGTCACACCAGACGTTTGAGGCAGGTTGCAACACCTACACTGACAATGTTAGATATTACACAGTCCTGGGGTCCTTGAGGTAAGCACAGTGTTTGAATCTAGAGAGCCACGATCGTTGGAATTATGACAAACAGCCCTTAAATTTCAACACTATACTGATTATGTATTTACAAATCATTCTACCATGAATTTGGAATTTACTCGATTCTGACTGGTCAATCAGAGGCTATTAAATCACAATAAACCCCCTCTGATTGAAACAGTTGGTTTGACGGCCGCATCACCACGGAAGCTCATAGTCATAGAATAGTACTATTTTCAGTCATTGTTGGTAGGCATATTTAAATAATTATATCTACAATTACAGGTTACAAAATGCACAGATGCAGTTACTACAATATTCAAAGGATGGGTGGCAATACATTTCGTGCAGAAAACACAATAGAAATCTACAAAGGGAATGTTTTTACGCTTTGGAGACAACAGAGAGCTTGGAATTTTGGCGCTTTTCTTTATACCACTGTGACGTCATATCTTTCCGTCACAATGAGCGGTATGACGTCATAATGGTGACGTGCGATGTAGAGCGAAAACCTTGCAAAGCTTGCTTTGTTTTCTCAAGTGAAGTAATATGGTGTAAACAAACTGCTTGAGTATATACGGCACCATATTTTGTTCGGTGATTCCGTAATTCAGATCGATAACTCACTCTTAACACTGGACTCAAACCATGCCGCTTCACTCAGTATATTTGCTAACACCAAAGAGTTTGCATTTATTTAGTCATGGTAGAATGAAGATAAACATACTGTGTTTTCAATGTAAAGCAAGGGTACCTGTAGATTTAACCGCGCTAAATGTAACATTTAAAAAGCCTGATGCCATTGCAAGTATGCAACGCCAGCTATAGTGCATCATTTCCTACTGATAGATTATTGTGACATGAAAGAAAAGTCGTTATGAGTGTTACCAGAGGAAATTCTGAAAATGATTGAGGTAAACACACATTGCATAGCATGATTTTCAACAAGTACAAAGAACTTTTCAATAAATAAAGAATATTGAAATTAGATCGATCATTTTGGTAATGTGTGGGACACAGAGAAGAGAAAAAAAATAATTTCACACACTGAGTGAGGATCCAGACTTTAAAACGTGACTAAAAGTGTGAATTTTCAAGTTTTATTTTTGTTTTTTCAACAGGACCAAAAGGGGTACAAATTTGGATAATGACCCATATATGGTATTCAGACTGTCCCCAGTATTAACAAACACAGTGCACAACTGTTTCTGCCCTGGACAGAATCTCTGACACGAACACATGCTTAACTCTCTTCACATTGAAAAACATGGTGAATCAGATCTATCAAGATTATCTCTTATGGTTTTAGAGCTATGTATACAACAATATACTTGTAGTCAATGTGGCAATCAGCATTATTCTTGCTATGTAATGGATGCCTGTGAATACTAGTGTCTGGGCCAACTGTACCACTGTGACTAACGTTTCATAGCATGTGCAAGAATCCTGGCCAACATGCTACAATGTTGTCTAGGGATCATTTAGCATTAGCTCAACAATCATCAGTCACAATTGTTTTTCTTCAGGCCAGTCAATCAATGATAATGATAGGACTAGGTTTCCATTTTTGTCTATATCTTTAGAATCTTATTCCACAAATGAAAATACTTCCTCTGTTGCATATTAATAATGAACATACTAACCATTTGTTTACATGTAACTATTTACAGAGTACACATGTTGATTGCACATTTTGAATAAATATTTGAAATCAAATAGCACTTATCCCCGCAGTCCTTGATATAGATCATGAACAATTTCAATCCATAATAGCACAGGTGAGGGTGAAACACTGATGATTATCAATGATCAGAACTTCCCTAGCCTGTTGGTACGATGACAAACCATCATGACTATTGGCTGGGCCACTCAATGTAACCACTCGATTCTCATTTTATTCAGCTACTCCAACAAGCATTGGACCAGCTCTGAACCAGAATATTGTGGGCTACAAATGTGAAGTGGGGATATAAAATACCAGTGTTGGTATTGAAAATGTTTTACTTTTATTCTTCAATTGAGCATACACTTAAACTGCAAAGAGGAAAGAAACTGAACAAGCTGAATGTTGATTAATCAAGATAGATCATTTGCTGCACTTGCTGCTGATATGTATATGTACATCATACTAACAAGATTCCGATGAAAGTATGAGAAGAAATGAGAAAGAATTATATAAGGCCCAAGGAGGTGGGTACTGTCACTACATGATGCAGGGTGCACACTACTGTTAGCTCTGTGCTTATCTGTCACATCAGTGTCGTGTAAAGTGGAAAGAATCTGAAATCCCTTTACTCATGTCATTAATGCACCAGTGGAATTTCACCTGAAATAATTGTTTCATGTGAAGTTTACATGACATACAGCTTTTCAATTGGAGAAGCAGGTCATATAACTGATACATTGATGTTCATAAGTCTACGAACGACACCTTTTGCATACGTTTTTTCATGAGATTGTATTCTTGAAAAAATGTAAAAACTGATGGACTACTTCCACACTCATGTAACTTCTTCTTTTGGTGAACTATTTTATGCCGCATTACAGCTGGTTGTTGAATGGCTGTTAGTGTGAACATGAAGTCACACGTACTAAATGAGATTGTGTACATCCTTCAAGGTATATAATAGTGATATAGAAAATTAAAAGAATTGACTTTCACTTTGCGTGAATTATTTGGCGAATGAACCTTCAAACCTTGTCTCTCTACAAAGGGTCATACTCCAATGAACTCACACAAAGGGAAAGTCAATTCTTAAATGTTCAACTACCCAAATATTATGAACATGGAGAACAAATGAGGACACACAAAATGCTTGGAATTCTACAAGCCTTAATAGTATCTTTTATCATATATTTAGTGATCTGAAAAGATCTAACAATAGTAACATGTATGATAATTTTATCAGGTCAATGAGAAGAACATGAACGGAAAAGTCAATATCCTACATTTATCATACATGTAAAACTACATGTCATAACTAATTTACCAATATATTGATGGTTTGCTTGTGACAAAATACCACTTCAATATGTCAATTTGAGCTCATGATAGCTAAAAAAGATTCCATATCCAAGCATGTCCATCATTATCACTAATATACAAAATCTTGTTAGTAATCCAGTAAATAATCCAGCTACTCTTCTGTAATCAAAATACTAATCATTATCACTGCCATCATGCTTTCCGTTTCATAAAAACATGTTCATGAAAATACACGATGAGACAGATACTGCACTGTCAATTTTCACAGTGGTGAAGGTATTGTGAATTTTGAAGAAATAATTGGATGTCGCAGTAAATGTTTAGATGGCAAGATGTGTGGAATAAATCTTTGCTCTGAAAATAATTTATGTTATCAGCATGATCAGTTTGGTAATACAGTTTTGTGTGAAACAATGTACAACACACACCAGATGCCACTATTTGCTCTTGTGCCTAATAAAATATCAGTTGTTCAGATAACAATATAAGCTGACATGCAAAATTCACGGACACAGCTGTAATCCTACAACAGTCATATTTTTTTAACTGACCGACACAGAGTTCTTGTTTATTATCCTACTTACTTTTTATCTATACAACATTTTCTGTAAATGTCAACTGACATTTAATTCAACATTGATTCACACCATATATAGAATATATGAGAAATGATACTGCATCATATTTAGCTACATTCTTCATAGATGTTGACAAGGAGACCTTGACATCTTTTCCGAATTCAAATCTACATTCACATCCTTGTAAAGATATACCATACGATGTGAACGTTGCTGTGATAACATATTGACCATTGGTCATTCAGTATGTTATGATATTATTCAAAAATGAATGAATAGGCAGTTGAAGAAAATTTGTGATATTTGATACTAAATTTCGAACTCGACAGATACTCTCTGTGAATGTCAAGGCTTAATTTCCAAATTATCTATGATCTGCATGGTTAATCAACATTCTATTTCATAAATCATTAATCAAACATGGGTGTTACTTACATGTGATATCTCAGAAACGTTTGCTTTGAAATTTTTCTTTGTTAGATTGGCAACTGAATAACTGATTTCTGCCAACGCAAATGAAAGTGAGTCCAGATTCATATTACTCCATTCACATTGAAACGAAAGCTCCAAATGCTCTTTGAAGCCTTCTCACAGTCAATATAAATACAAAAACCTATTAACAAAGTTCTTAGAGAAGTCAAACGCGGCCTTTGCCGGGCCAACATCAGGAAATGTCCTGAATATTCACTGTGTCATTTTCAGACTTCTCGACATGGCGTCACAGCTGCCATATTGGCTCGTGTTCGGGTTCAATCGTGAGTGTCCGGATGCACTTCGAAAACCGCCGAAGAATAAATATTATTCGTATAGATTCAATACTAAAAGTTGACCAACTTAAAATCAGTTTTCTATCAATTTCATAGCGCTGTGAAAGATTGAAAACACTTTTAGACCGTGCTATAAAGATTTTAAACGAGCAAATGTTCGGGTCAGGTGACACATCACGTGATACCAGTAAAAATAGGTTATTTTTAGCATTGATGTCAATTCGTTTTCACATGGACAAATAAATGTTCACATTTTCTGTCTTTAGATTGAAAATGATAAATTAAGATCCACTCCAGCAGTTGTATTGCAACATTCCGTTTGTAAAATAGTCTCTGTTTTTCTTGTCTATCTATCAGCGGCGTGTTGTTTAATGCCTGCGTTTCGCATTTATCATTTGTATTATACATATATATATATGACTCATATATAATCTGTTTCATTTTCAGGTATATTTTGCACGACGTTACTTTCACGTGGACTTTGAAGATATATGTGGTGCGTAACTGTCAATTCTCAAACTATGCATAACTTTAATTGTTGTGACTGCCAGTCTGCTATGAATTGTTGATGTGAGACCTACTATGAGAGACCAGTCATTTTATTAAAAAGGAAAAAAACTACTGACTTTACGATCATGACCCCCCCCCCAAAAAAAACAACAACAAACAAACAAACAACAAAACAACAACAACAAAAAAAGAAACAAATCTCAAAACAAAACTAAAAAAAACCCAAACAAACAAAACAATGTCTCAAAAGCAATCAGTTCACACAGAGACCATAAAGTATTTTATGATCTCTGGTTAACAACAACATTTGGAGCCTAATTTTAAAAAGTTCTTTGCGTAGGCTTATCTCAATTATTCAGATAGTACCAGTTGAATGCCATCCAAAAGAATATGGTTGTTAGCTATTACTCTTTGTTTATTAATTTCTCCAAAGCTTTGCCTCTATAGCATGATGTCTCAATACTGACCAGCCTAGCACTGGCTGGAGTCAAAGGAAAGTACTGAACTCCTAGAAGGAAGCATCTTTAAGTCCCAAGTTGTGTCATTTTCAGTTTGGTTCATTGCTGGAAGAAAATGGTGGCAGAGCTGTGTGCTCTGTTTGCCTACAGTCTGGCAACGTCTCTGCTGATTACATCTGTGACAGTCCAAGTCCCTGAGATGTCTCTTCATCTCCAGATACATTGACCAGGATTTAGGTGGAACAGCTTTTTACCCCAGTTTTGGGCCTTTTTTGTTAAACTCTCCAGATTTTTTACCAAGGGGAGGTAACTCTAACCTACTGTCCCCAAGATAAAAGTACACACAGACCATGTGGTACAAAGTATGTTGTGTGTATGTGTGCAGGTTGTGTGTATGTTGAGGGTCCTAGTCTGAAGTTGAATCATTGGTAGAAACAGCATGTCTTAAACACTCACTACCCAAGGCTCTGAACAGACTGTTAAAATTGTGACACAGCACAGAAGCTGTAGTCAGCAGTTTAAGATGTCAACATGGACAGTCACTGAACAAATGTTGTCAGCATTGATATTCAAATAGTTTCTAAAAACTAAAACTAAAATCAAATGATTTGAACAAATATGATGTCATCTCTTCATGGCACCATATGCTAAAACAATTCAGCAGGCTAAAGGTTATAATGGACAAACTCGTGTTCAGGTTGAAAAAAGGACACATCTGAAGCCAAAGTGCCAGTGTAAAGTTGGTTATCATTTAACACCGACAACAGCAGTACGTGATTACATAAAGACCAAGTCTACACCAGGTTGTGCACCAAGTTCCCCCCATCTACAGTTTGAGCTATCACTAAACTATTAGATTAATAACTGGTTTTGTAAGCCCCACTGTACAACATACACATACCAGGTGAATGTGAAGAATCTCCCTAGCAGTTCATGTATTGTAGTCCTGTTATTCTTATTGTCATCATTATTCTTATAGTGCTGTAATATTCAGTATTAACACTGATATCTAATCACCAATAAACTTTAAAATCCATATGTGCAAAGAGTGTGTGCACCCCTCCTATGAATGCTGCAGCAATGAAGGGCTTCAAAAACCCATCTGGGGAATCAAACTGTGATGAGTGAACACTTCACCCACTTGGCTACCTGCTGCACCAGATCATTGGTGAGGTGAGGTGAAATGGGGTTTAACGTCACGTCCAAGATTATTGCACTTATATAGCGATGTGCATGCACGATGTGTGTGTGTGTCTGCAGTCTGATGACTTAATAGTGCTAGCACACTGAGATACCATGCCGCAGTTTAACATGAATACCCCACAAAGACACAGTATCCTGACTCCGAGCTGACCAGTCCTTGTTTTAGCCCCTAAATGCCGAGTACCGGACCACAAAAAACACCTTTTAACGCCTTTTGTTATGATGCGTCCGGAGATTGGGCGGACGCAATCAATGGCGTTAATAGAAGTGAGTGAGTGAGTTTGCTTTGTTGGAGGAAAGCCTGGAGTGATGGAGGTCTTGAGACAATTACAACTTTGGTGCACATGCATGGTGCCGACAAACCTTGAAACATCAGGATTTGTGTATGTGCATGTGCGTGTGTGTGGAGTGTATGTGCATGTGGTGTGTGTATATGTGTGTGTGCATGTATTGGTGTGTGGGTGTGTGTGCCTGCTCGTGTGTGTATATGTGTGTATGTGCATGTATTGGTGTGTGGGTGAATGTGCCTGCTCGTGTGTGTATATGTGTGTATGTGCATGTATTGGTGTGTGGGTGTGTGTGCCTGCTCGTGTGTGTATATGTGTGTGCATGTATTGGTGTGTGGGTGTATGTGCATGTGGTGTGTGTATGCATGTATTGGTGTGTGGGTGTATGTGCCTGCTCGTGTGTGTATATGTGTGTGTGTGCATGTATTGGTGTGTGGGTGTATGTGCATGTGGTGTGTGTATATGTGTGTGGGTGTATGTGCCTGCTTGTGTGTGTATATGTGTTTGTGTGCATGTATTGGTGTGTGGGTGTATATGCCTGCTCGTGTGTGTATATATGTGTGTGTGCATGTATTGGTGTGTGGGTGAATGTGCATGTGGTGTGTGTATATGTGTGTGTGTGCATGTATTGGTGTGTGGGTGAATGTGCCTGCTCGGGGGTGTATATATGTGTGTGTGTGCATGTATTGGTGTGTGGGTGAATGTGCATGTGGTGTGTGTATATGTGTGTGTGTGCATGTATTGGTGTGTGGGTGAATGTGCCTGCTCGTGTGTGTATATGTGTGTGTGTGCATGTATTGGTGTGTGGGTGTATGTGCATGTGGTGTGTGTATATGTGTGTGCATGTATTGGTGTGTGGGTGTATGTGCATGTGGTGTGTGTATATGTGTGTGCCTGCTCGTGTGTGTATATGTGTGTGTGTGCATGTATTGGTGTGTGGGTGTATGTGCCTGCTCGTGTGTGTATATGTGTGTGTGTGCATGTATTGGTGTGTGGGTGTGTGTGCCTGCTCGTGTGTGTATATGTGTGTATGTGCATGTATTGGTGTGTGGGTGTGTGTGCCTGCTCGTGTGTGTATATGTGTGTATGTGCATGTATTGGTGTGTGGGTGTGTGTGCCTGCTCGTGTGTGTATATGTGTGTATGTGCATGTATTGGTGTGTGGGTGAATGTGCCTGCTCGTGTGTGTATATGTGTGTGTGTGCATGTATTGGTGTGTGGGTGTATGTGCATGTGGTGTGTATATGTGTGTATGTGCATGTATTGGTGTGTGGGTGTATGTGCATGTGGTGTGTATATGTGTGTGGGTGTATGTGCATGTGGTGTGTATATGTGTGTGCATGTATTGGTGTGTGGGTGTATGTGCATGTGGTGTGTGTATGCATGTATTGGTGTGTGGGTGTATGTGCCTGCTCGTGTGTGTATATGTGTGTGTGTGCATGTATTGGTGTGTGGGTGTATGTGCATGTGGTGTGTGTATATGTGTGTGGGTGTATGTGCCTGCTTGTGTGTGTATATGTGTTTGTGTGCATGTATTGGTGTGTGGGTGTATATGCCTGCTCGTGTGTGTATATATGTGTGTGTGCATGTATTGGTGTGTGGGTGTATGTGCATGTGGTGTGTGTATATATGTGTGTGTGCATGTATTGGTGTGTGGGTGTATGTGCATGTGGTGTGTGTGTATATGTGTGTGTGTGTGCATGTATTGGTGTGTGGGTGTATGTGCATGTGGTGTGTATATGTGTGTGGGTGTATGTGCATGTGGTGTGTATATGTGTGTGTGTGCATGTATTGGAGTGTGGGTGTATGTGCATGTGGTGTGTGTGTGTGTGCATGTATCGGTGTGTGGGTGTGTGTGCATGTATCGGTGTGTGGGTGTGTGTGCCTGCTCGTGTGTGCATGTATTGGTGTGTGGGTGTGGGTGCCTGCTCGTGTGTGTTTATGTGCATGCATGCATGTATGTGGTGTGTGTGTAGTTAAATCAACATCAGAATGTATCTACAACAGCAGTTTTTTAATGAGGAAGACAAGGTTTAAAAGTGTTAACTGTTATGTACTGGTGTGAATGTGTGTGTGGTGTGTGCATGTGTGGTGTGTATGTGCATGTGTGTGTATGCGCATGTGTGGTGTGAATGTGTGCGTGAATGTGAATGTGTGTGTGTGTGGTGTGATGTGTGTATGTGCATGTGTGGTGTGATGTGTATGTTCATACATGTGCATGTGTGTGTGTGGTGTGTGTATGTTCATACATGTGCATGTGTGTGTGTATGTTCATACATGTGCATGTGTATATGTGTGTGTGGTGTGTATATGTGTGTGTGTGGTGTGTGTATGTTCATACATGTGCATGTGTATATGTGTGTGTGTGGTGTGTATATGTGTGTGTGTGGTGTGTATATGTGTGTGTGTGTGGTGTGTGTATGTTCATACATGTGCATGTGTGGTGTGTGTATGTTCATACATGTGCATGTGTGTGTGGTGTGTGTATGTTCATACATGTGCATGGGTATATGTGTGTGTGTGGTGTGTATA